GTTTTTTTTATCTAAAAGAAACGATTCATGACTTTTTAGGGTCGAAGTAGCAAAATAACATAAAAAACATGTCTGATTAAGGTGTCAAAACATCATCAAAATGAATAGAAATGAAACCATTAATAAACAATTTATGTAAATACAGTAGATTGGACTGTCAAACATCCTGCGTTTAGATACAATAATACATGATCAATACTACATACTTTATCATATGTTAGAGAGCATCTCCAATAAAGATGTCCATATAAAAAGGAGAATAGGTGATGATAACACCGTATATTGTCACCTTTATTGCCCTCTTCGTATTACTTCAAATTTTTCTGTGTCTTTTTCGCCATGTTCTCTTTGTCCTGTTTTATGATTATTGAGCTCACAACTTGGCTGCATTTGTTTCTATATGTTATGTTAGACTGAGTATAGTAATTATATACCATACAGATTTATGTTGCATTCATTTGTTTTTTTCTATATTACAAATGATCGAGAAAATATGTATTAGTGGTATTGATATGGATGGTCTGATGTCGAGTTTGCCGCACATCTAGACAATTCACGAAGGTTCGTCAAAACTGCAAAAATCTAGGCAGATGAAAGAGAAAATGAAAAGTTTGTGGAAGGTCAGACACTTGCTAGAAATGTTTTGTTTTTTTCACACAACTTTCCTAGAAATTTTGAATCTGATGAAGAAATATTTTCAACTGTTCAATGATTGTTCGGTCGAGACTACTGTCATTCGATTGGTCATGATGAATAATCACAATATCTGTTTTGATTTGGTTTTTTGATATTCATCTATTAAAGTAAAAGTAGTTTACTCCATTTTTAGTATACGAACATCGACAAAGTTGTGAATCAAAATGAAAAAGTTTTTTAAGTTTCCTAACACTACAAGGTTTATCTATGGACAAAATTTTAGCTGGAAATTTTGTCATTCATGTTTCTAGCGATACGATGCTCATAGGCCAAAAATCGTCTACCATGGCTCCAGTTTGTCTATTGAAGATAAGAAAATCAAATCAATACAAAAACTTTTTCACTATTCGTGATGATCAATTGAATAACAATAGTATCAAGCGAAAAATCGATAGGACAATTGGAAATGTTGTCTCGTTAGTTTGTTGTGAAGAGCGTGTTTAAATTGAACATGAATATATTATTGAAATAATTAAAGATTATGCTGCATGAACAGATAGTTATGTTCTGATGCATTCACATGAATGTTGCTAAATTGTTGAATGCTTTTGATATTGCATCTTATTTTTTTTTGTTTTTATGTTTTGCACAGATGTACTGTATAAGTTTTCTTCACATTCTATACTCTAACTGAGAAATATTTTCTTACTGTGACTCTACTCTACACTGTACAATAGAGAAAAATAACCCTGAACATCTCTATTTGTTTTTATGCTACAGAATTTTCTACTTATTAAAATATAATCTGTCGGAAAAAAAATAATAATTTTGTAATAGGTGAAACTTAGTTTTTATTCAATGAATGAGTGTTTTGACGTTTTTTCTTCATATACATGCATTCATGTCTATATTTAACACATATATTCATAGAACTGTTGTTTAGTAAAACATAAACGAATCAATATATTTAAACAAGTGGGCTCTTTCTCAAAGTTTGTTTTTAATACTAAACGTCTAGAAGACTAGAGGTAATCAATGAAATTTAATGAAGGTGAACATGAAGAATGGTGAGAGTCAACAATGCGGCTGTTAGGTTATCGTCTTTTATGCATGAGCCCTAGGTATAGTATTTGTTTTCGTGCGTTTCTTTTGTAATCTTATTTTGTTTTTATTTTTTGTATAGCGTCATTGTTTTTTTCAACAGCTAGTCAACTCAATCGTTTTCAAGATCTACAATAAGCCTCTAAACCACCAAACAATAATGATAATCAAGGACATGATAATTCGATAAATTCCACTGTTGTGCACAAACATCAAGAAGGTGAAAATCATGGAAAAAGCTTCCATTGTGACCTAAGTCGAGGGTGATGCTAACGAATTCGATACATAAATACCATTTGTCAAATACTAGATGTAGACTTTTATGTTTATCTAGATAAATCTCATGATCATCATAACTAATTGATCAATTCAAACCAAGAACAATCATATAATTGAAAACAAACTTTATACAACATATTGACACTGTTTTTGATAATGCTAATATCCATTTCAAATTGAAAGGCTGATGAGTGTTTCTGGAATTATTTTCGATATGAAAAAAATAGAGAACTGCGGGTTTCACCGTTCAAAAGAAGAAAGGAAACTGCATAGAATCTCGAACACCAAATCGTTCTGACAGATTCTCTCAGAGCCATCCGTCAAGTTTTTTTTTTAAATGCAAAACATTGTGCAATAAAAAAATTGTGGAATTTTAATGTTCACTAGCGCACTAGAATCCTTAACTAAAGATCAATAATCCATACAAGTCCGGTATTAACAGATTCAGGCAACCACAAGTTATTAACATTTTGCTTCATGTTTTCGACAAATTTTTCAAGAAAACTTGACAGGTGGTCTTGAGAAAACTTCTCAGAAAAATCTGACCTTCAAGTTACAGTGCAGTTTCATTTCCTCTTTTAAACAGTGCAAACAGCAAATTTCTACTTCATTTCTATCAAAAAGTATTTCAAAAATACTCACCCACCTTTTAATTTGAAATGGATATTAGTAATTCGAATACATTTATCATTTTTCTATTTTTATTCAAAAAAAGAAGATGTGTAAGCTTTTGATGTGTTCAATACACCATTTTCAAACAATCCAAAACCCAACAGTCAGAATTATATATAAACATTTTTTCTTTCCTTTCTTGTTCCTATAGTGATATTAACAAACCTTCCAAAGCAAAGGAGAGAAAGGTATTTTGTTATCGTATTGCAGTGTTTGTCAACATGACTATGGGAAGAAAAAAAATAGAATGTTCTTATAGAATTCTAACTCTTTTGTTTGTTGTGTTGGACATAATAAAAGCTATGATTGCTTCGTTTTGGATTAAAATAGAAAAATGATAAACAAACTCGTACTATTAGTATTATCATTAATTAAATATATTCTGCTTCACAATATATATTTATTTTATACAGTCAGAAATATAAGAAAAAAAAAACTTGGCTGTTTTTTAAATAAATACCAAAAAAATTATTTTCAAATAAAAGACAAATTTATACAAAATAATACTAATAATATGACATAAGATATTAATTTTATTGATGCTTGACATTCAAAGTCTTTATCTTTTATAAGTATTATATTTAATTCACAAACATACCCACATAAGTTTTATACATCAGAATATTCTGCAACTGTACACAAATATCCATATGAAGTTATTCTCTTAATATTTCATGTATCACTTTTTCAATCATAAATCATCAAAGATCCATCACTATACTATTTTAGAAATTAAAAATAATATTTAAAAATATATATATATTGTTTACCTCTCATTTTGACCTGTATCTTTACCATCTTGGATAAAATCTGCATAAAATTGAATAATATTATCATATATAATACATTATGACCATATATATTTGTATATATGATGTAATAGGTAATTATACTTGTTGAATAGTATAGGATGATAAACAACCTTTAAATAAATCCAATATTTAAATTATTGAAATCAACATTATTTCTTAATTCTAATAGAGCAATAACATTTTCATAAGTTTCATCATTCAGATTGTCATGTAAAATAACAGATATTATTGTAGAATTAATTGAACTTCTATCATTTTTATATTGAGCATGATCAATAACAACAGTATGATTTGAAATTTATGATGATTTAATGCTATGAAAAAAGAATGTGCAGCTCTTAATAGATATTTTCTATTAATTAAAGTTGTAGCATGAAAAAAGAGAATTCGAGCTTATTAATAATTCACTAGCTTTTGATAGATGAAAATTTACTATTTTATTTATTATATGTATGTATCTAATAGATAATTAAATATTGATACTTATAGATCCATCATTATGAAAGATTTCAAACTGTATAATCATCAGCAATTCTTGTTTTAGAAAGAATAGGTTTTATTTGTCAATATTCACATTGTTTCGATGATAATATACATAATGATAAATATGAATGAATTATAAAAAAAAAGAAAGCATATCGAATGAAATATTGTTTTCGATGAATTATACTGGTTTTGTATGTATATTACAAACGAATTATTTTAAGTTTGACTGTATAAAGAATGGATTGATTATGAGTTTTTGTATAATCATGTTTGGTGTTTTTTTTTGTCATTTTTATACTAATTATATTATGATATTGCTTATTATTTTCAAATGAAAATTTCTGTACTTGTTATGTTCTTTTAATACAGATCATCGACTTTGATCACTAATCTGAAATTTCATTGTTTTATCGATTTCGGCACATATATTATTACCTAGTTGTTCTTTTTTATTATTTAGTTGAAGTATTGAATTCAATCTGAGTGTATTTGATTTACGTGCTGGTACAATACTGATCAATGTAATTGGTTGGTAAGATTGTCTAGTAAAAAATGTAAATATACATTGTGCATACGCTGTGTTATCATCATGACTAACAAGTCATTTATTCAAACGATCTTGATCGAATTTATCTAGATGCCATTCACACCTACACTCCCACACCCTTAAGACTACTCTTAAGGTGTTAAAATGATTTCTAGCATAGAAATCAACTTGATTCCCATTGCATTTATTAGTAGTATTTTTATTATCTATTTCAATTTTGTTTTTCATATCAATATTCAATCCATTTTTCTATTCAATGATTAGTAAAAGTTGCATGATAGAACAATTCTCATAAACAAAAAAAAAACTATGTTTCAAACTTTTATTGAAAATAGTACAGTTATTGTAAGTATTAACATCATTAGATTATACATTTCGAGATTTTCAAAGAGTTCTGACAAAAATAAAGGAATTTCTTTTTAGTACATAAAGAAAAAACAATAAGAAAACAAAAAATATTTTCATTATCAATAATACACTGAACAATGTAAAGCAATAATTAATGCTAAAATAAAAGCATGATCTTCTTGTTTTTTATCATTATTTGAATCGATTACTTCAACTTCATATATATCAGCGATTGCAAAAAATTTTTTATTTACAATAGCAATGGTTTTACCATCTTTGTTCGTCAGTGTAAATGCATGATTAAGTACATCAAGTCCTTTCAATTTATATTCACCATATATTGAATAAATTTTATAACTGTATTTAAAGAAAGTAAATTTTTCTCTAATAGATGCCACTGGTTCGTTTAATTCACTATCACGAGCTGATAAAATACTAAATTGATCAAGTAAACGAAATCCTTTTTGATGAATTTTCAAAAGAGCACTAAAAAAAAAATAATATTATACGTGTGAAAACATATTTGCGTAGCAATTTTAACTTACTTGCCATTCATATCTTCGAATGTAAGCTTTCTACCTAATGTCCATGGGCTTGAACGGATAATATATTTGTCATGTCCAAACTCATCTTTAATTTTAAAACTGATACCAATTGTAAAAATTTTCTCTCGAATTTGATAACGACGATTGGTTATCGATTTTGGCATATGTACTTGAGCGGACGTCATCTTCTTACCAAATTCAAATCAAAATAGAAGGATCAAAAAGAAAAAGAGAAATCGATATAAGAATATGAATGGTAGAAGTAAATTATGGAACGTTCCACTTTTCTTCTCTCTCACATCTACTTTCCTTTTTTCGATTGGCATAATACAACAGAGAAGCATTTCCAGTAGTTTTCCAGATAGTAGATGGAGTAGTCTAGTGGCATCTTGCATGCCTATCGATAGCATGTTTTATAATAAAAACTGTTTGTTATGTATCTATTCTACGCAATAGCTACATTAAGTACGTCATGTTTTTTTTTATTAATTAGATGGTCATTCAAGGATGGATTGAATTATACTGAATATTTTAGTACTGTGAATAACGATCGCCACAAAGTTCAAATATTGTTATCTATTAGTAACAATTATTTCAAAGAAGAGGATAGATAAGCAAATAATAACCAACAATTATTTATATCATAGTGATAATCAGAGGATAATCAAACGTATCAGTATCAAACTACTAGCGATTCGTATTCAATTCAAATTACATGGGTAGGATGTGAGTCGGAAGAAATTTCTTTAATCTAGATTTCACTATGTATTGATTCATAATCCAACTAAACTTTATTTTTCAGCTAAGTTTCAGTAAAATTCTCACGTAGAATAGAATAATAATAAAGTTCGTTCTTACTCTATACGAATATCATTCAAAAACAAATTCTATATTAGAGTTTAAAAGTAACATATTTACTAAAGATATGTTTTTATAATATTTTTTTTTTATTATAGGAGTTTTTGTTTTTGAAATCTATTATATTAGTTATATAGACATACATGTATTTATTGCGCTGAACAAATTCTCTCATTAGTAAATAACAATACGACAATACTAATACAAATGATATCTGTCAATAAGTGATTGTGAATGATTATCTCGATAGAGATAACCTAGTAAATAATCAAGTTGAGTCTGTGACAAAATGATTAGAGGATGTCGAGTAATCTGCATAAATCGTTCATCAGAATAAGCATCATAAAATGTTGGTGTTGGTGGTGGTGGTTGAGAATCAAAATAGTCTCTTAATTTGAAAAGAATTGGTGCAGGTGGAGGTGGTGGAAGAGAAAGAGCAGGAGGTAATGATGATACTTGAGAAGGTGTTGCTGATATTGGTGGTGTAGGAGAACATTCCATAAATCGAAGATCTTCTTCTGGTTCTGTTGTTGGAATTGGAAGAGATACAGGTAATGGTATAGTAACAAGAGGTTTTTTAGATGGTCGTTTCCATAAATTAGCCATTTGTTCTGCAGTTAAATAATCATGATCAAGTATAATTGTTGAATAATCTAATTTTGGTTTATGTTTTTTAACTTGTGGTACAGTTATAATCATATCACTTGATCCATCTTCCCATCCTTTTGGTGGTGCATGTTTACGTTTTTTTGTTAATAATAATAACTCTTCTTCTTTTGGTGTTGCTGGTAATGGTACATTAGCAGCAATTAATTCAGCATAAATTAATCTAGCATCATTTAATGTTGTACAAAAACATGAACGTGATGTACTTGCTTGTCGATTATTACGCATTAAAAAATCACGTACAAATTCTGGACACATGACAATAGGACATTGTAATAATTTTGCATAATGTTTTATTGTTGATAATGGTAGATTATTTAATAAATTTTTTGATAAATCAACAAGACGTATATGTTCAATTTCATTAATAAATAATGATGGTACAGCTATATTATTGATTATAGATGATGATATAAGACGATTATGTGTAAGAGATGAGCGTTGTCGTGGAAGATCAAGGTGAGATTCATCAAATGATGGTAAATGAAGATTTGACTCAATTAAACCAGCTTTTAAATTAGCAAGAATATCATTAATATTTGGTGTAGGACGTGGATCAAGATCAGCAACAAGTGAATTGAGATCATTATCAGTTGATACTGGAGATGAATGTGTAGTCATAGGTAAAAGTTTTGAAAGGATTGATAATTTAGCTGCATTATTCATATCACCTATGCAAATAAACAAACAATGAATATATCATTTGAAAAATCGAAAGTTTTTCTTTACCAGATTTATTATTATTATTAACAGATAAACAAGCATCGAGTTCATCATTTGCTACTGATGAAAAATCATGAAGTAAACGTTCATATTCATGTTGAGAATTAAATCGTTTATATGAAGGTAATCTTGGTGGTGATGATGATGATTGTGGAAGAGATGATGAAAGAATATCATATTCTGACATATCAAAACTGTTAACTGCTTGATCAATAACTGCTGATGAATATCTTCGATCATATTGATATTGTTCAATATAAAGTTGATCATAACATTGCCAAAAAGCAATTATATCTCGAAATGATAAATGTTTTGGTTGTTGTGAATACGATGAACTAAACAATAAATATCTCTATATTTTAATAATAAAAATTAAATTTACGATTTAATGTCATCATTTGAACGATTTGTTGATGTTGGTTTTGGTGGAAGTCTTGGTACACTATCACAAATTTGACTAAGCATACTTAGATTATCTAATTCAACAAGTAATTCTCCTGCACTATCGGCCCATTCATCAACTGACGAAGTAACACCACCTGATGTTGGACTTTGATTACCGAGAAATAATGTAGCCAATGTATCTCGATCAAATAATGAATTAGGTGAAAATTTAATATTAGTATTATTAGTATTATTATTATTATTATTTTGATGATGACCGTTGCCACTGGGATCAGATCCATCCATTATCAAAGAATCCATCTGCAATGAAAAAAAAAATAAATCATTATTATTACTGTTTTATCTTTTAAGAGAAAAGATAACATTATGCTTGAATAAATTTTTTTTTACAAAAGCTATATCGCAACGTTTTGTACATTGAAAGAAACAAAATAAAAATATTAAAACACAAAAATTAAACTTTAAAATTTCTTAATGCTTGAAATAGATCGCGTATAGCATCAAACACAGAATAACGTTGATTTAGTTGATGATTCATCCATTCTTGATGTCGTTGATCTAATTCTTGTTGATGAATCAATGCTAATTCTTCTTCACTTGGTGGTAATTCAATTTTTAAAGGATCCAGTGCAACGATTTTTGCAATTTCTTGTTCAGCATTATAATGTACCTATAAATCAATTGATATGATAGATAATATTTTCGACAAGTCAAAAGCTATGATTTTGTGCTGTTTTCGAATATAGACTGAAAAATTAATCTTCATTTATGTTGGGGATTAGGAGAATAAAATAATGTTTGAAAAGCTCAAAAACTCAGTTTGAACAGTAACGTGTGGGCAGATGTTTCCGATGAATATGTTTGTTCATCTTGATCTGCTTGAAAACATTTTAGATGAGCTAAAAACTATAGATCATGATCAAAGTATTTAATATGAGGTTAGAAATATTGTATACATTTTTGTTCAAGAGTAGTGAAGAAAGTTTTAAAAGATCTCACATATTGTTGATAATGATGAACTAACAGATTTTTGTTTAGTATATAAGTTTCTTTTTCAGCATACTAAAAATTTTTGAGGTCACTAGAGTTTTTTCAATAACTCCCTTCAAAGTAAAACGATTGTTGGTTTTCAAAAAAGGAGGATATAGAAAAAACGAAAAATTGAGGTGTGTTTCCGAAAAGCAAAATACTTGGAATAGAGTATTTTTTAAAGTATTTTCTCATTTATACCTGTTGTCTCCAAAGCATAGGCACAATAAGATTTAATTTATTAATATTAACATTAACTTCAGCAATGTCAGTACGAAATTTCTCTAAAGCTTGTTTCCATTTAATATTGCTTAATAAATATGTTTTCTGTTCATCAACAGATTGTGTATTTTCCGAAGCAATTTTTTTAAAAACACGTTTTAAATTTGTACGTGCTTCTTCAATAGATTCTCGAATTTGTTTTTCAATTTGAATCCATTCAGGCATATAACCTAAAATATTGAAAAGAAAAATAAAAAATATTCTAATTCATAATGATTTTTATTTAACCATTATCAATAAGAATTTCATTAATTTTATATGTCGTAAAATCCATATAATGTGGATTACGTTCATGTAATGGTTTTCCACTTGGTTTAATATTATTAAAATCACCACGTGACATTGATTCTTGAATAAGATCTTCAACAAGACGATCAATAAAATTTCTATAAAAAAAAACAAAAAAATTATTTATTATATTGTTCAAATATAATTAAAAATAAAAATTTACGTGGCTCTAACATCTTTTCTTTTCTTTCTTTCAACTAATTCTTCTCTTGTTTCAACTGATTCTCGATCTCGTCGATATTCATAGACAGTTTCGTATGCTCTTTGAGCACGCATTTTGTAATATGCAGTTTGTCTTTGACTTGGCGTTCCCATGCTAAAGAAAAATAATCAAAATTAAAAAAAAAACAAAACGAAAAAAAATTGATTAATAAAAACCCACAGACAACTAACCCGAAACCTCCATATTCTAAATGTGTTCGATGCTGAGGAGCTGTATGACGAATATCAAATTTAATATGATCATCATCTGTAGATGATATTGGTGACTGATCAAGAGAACCATTTGATTTTAATGTTTCCTTTTATTAAAGAAAAAAATTTATAGCTTATTTTTCTGTGAAAGCAAAGAAAATCGATTTTTTTTCATTAACTATAAGTGCTTCATAAGCTTGTCGTATTTGATTAAATTTTGTATGATCACCATTATTATTTTGAAGTGATGAATCTGGATGATATTGCTTTACTTTTTCTAAATATGCTTTACGAATTATTGTTTCATCACGACATGATGGATCGACTTCCAAAATTCTTTTAAACAAATTACGTTGAATTTTATTCAAAAATTTTAATTATATATTTACGAATAACATTGTCGAATAAAATGATCCGCTGGTGCTTGGGATACATTTGTTATATATCGTTTCGTAATTCCGACAAGTAAGAGACGAAGTCTTTGCTTATCGGTTGGAAGACGCCATAATATTGTGATTATCATATCTACAAAAACAAGGAAAAATTCTTCGAGTTTAAGAATCATTACATTTTCTAAACTGTCAGTTTTGGAATAAAATGGTTTCTAAATCCTTTATTAACAACAAGTGTTCTGGTAAGGGACACCGTGCTAATTTAGGCAATCTTCTCGATTGCTATCGTAAACAGACTTGCAAAGTGAGTTCAACCATTCCTGAATGATTTTTCTCAAACTCTGGATCCTTATATCCGCCATGGTTGAATGACTGCAATGTTGAAATCTTGGTATCAAGAGCCATGGAATGATCCTAAACAAGTTACTAACGACTGTTTGTCTCGTATCATCCGTTCGGTTGCATGCTGACTACTTAATGACATACATCTGCTCTTGTTGCTACTATGAAATTAGTTAGTATGTATGGAGAGCTCAAGTATGAAACTCAAGAACTCTATGTATCACGTATACCCTTCTATCCAGAGCTACAGAATGCGCCACTAGGTAATATCTCATGTTCCAAGATAGTTGAAAGAGAGACGTAATCTTCCTTGATTCTTATATAATTTTGCAGCGTAGAATTGCTAATAGAGTGGATGCAGTAAAGTAGCTTATAACAGCAATGAATGTCCCTTTTCTCTGTTTAAATTTAACTAACGAATCTCTAAAAGAACGGCTTATAATTCCGTAACCAGATATTCTACAAAAATTTCGAATCTATATTCAGAAAGGACATCAAATTTTAATTCCAACTGAATATTTTCAAATTCCTACAAGCTCTGTAAAAAGTTTAGTTACGAATAGAATTGTTTGTATGTAACAAGTTCCATAATAGACTTTATCTGAAACTGAAGAAAACAGAAGGATCAGTTTTGAAAAGTTTCTTTTTATATTATATTTATCGAAAATAAGTGCAACATCTTCATAAAAATATTCATTTTTTTCTATTCAAATGATAATTATAAAGACTTTATTTATCCATAAAATAATGGTTTGAACTCACATCACTACATATAATCACATATGACAGAAAATTAATTCTCAACTTCTAATATTTATTCCATGTGTTATTTTTTCTAATATCAAATCTACGATAAAAAATATGATAGAGTGTTTAGAAATAAATTTCAGACAACTTTAAAAGAAATATTATTTATATTAATAATAAATAGAAACTTATTAAACGAATGAAGAAAAAGATTGTGTAAATAGCTTAAATCTTTTTTTTTATCAATCATTAATAACGACATATAAATACTAGAATTGATTGTCACATACAAAAAAAACAAAACCTATCTAAACCTAGAAAATATCTATGTTAATATTAATATAATAAACATCAAAGGACAATATATTCTTATGTCTTAATCAATGAGATGAATGAATTAACACAAAAACATACATAGAAACTTGACTTATCAAAAGGACAAACAAAAAAAAATATATGCTGTCAATTAAATTCTCTGCTTTAATTTGAACTTTTCTTTTTTTGTTCTTTTGTTTATTAATCATCGTCATCATCATCACTGTATACAAATAAATCCATTTTTTCAAGACCTAATGCTCCATATTTGCTTACAAGTGAACCAAGATAAAGAAATGGAATTGCAATAAATAGAACTTTTATTATACCAAGAGGATATCGTTTAGGCATCTAAATACAAACAAATAGATAATAAAATCAAAAAGAAAAAGAAGAAACAATGCTTTTTTTTCTTCTTTTTATCAACTTACTGGTCGTATTGCACCAGACTCTGTATAAACACCTTTTGACACGTATGGTTCAAGTCGAATATCATCTTGTTGACTTTTTCTACGACGATCTTCTAGAAAACGAATAAGAAATGATCGAGCTGTTGCTCTAGCTGTTGTTTGTTGTGTTGTAGTAACATGTCGACGAATAATTGGAAAAACTATATTAGTACATAGTTTTTTACTTGCCATAGAAGATAAATTTAAATGCCTAGACACACTGAAAATTGCTAATCCTAACTATTACTGTTCTATAAACTTCTAGGAAATGTTATTTTTACAATAAGTGATGAATATTAAATAAATGTATGGATTGGTTCTATTCATATATCGAATTAAGAAACATTTCCAAAGAGGTCGCTTTTTGTATGTCTTGAAAAGTTTTTGCCAACAGTTCTGGTTTTAATTTTTGTTTTCCATTGAAAACTAGTTCATTTCAGTTGTTTTTGTGATTTTTAGAATAAAAAAAAAACAAGAAATTAAAATTCTTTCTTCTTCATTCATATATGTGTAATTCTTCTCTATTCTGTTATATATAATTCGAAAAGAAAAATCAGAGATCGAAAGTGTTAAATCAACTTATCTTTATATAAGAAAAAGACAACAATAAGTAGTCATTTCAGATAAAATCAAGAATGACTTCACCACCGTTTGATCTTCCAACAATTCGAAATCATTATAATTTTTATACAATTAATAATAAACAAATTCCTGTCCTCTATCGGTTTGCTGATGCTATTTTTCTTTTAAATTATGTATTTATCTCATATAAATAGACTTAAATCTGGTATTTATTATCCATATATTGCTTTTGAACTTGTTATTGATGAACTAGACACTCATTGTTCAACATGGAATTCACCAAAAAAATTACCCTTATTACCAATGACAATGAATGAAAGGCTATTATACAAAACTTTATATCCAAATAAAGATTTCTCATTGTCATCGAAACTTATTTTATGTTCAATAATCGATCAATTTCTTCAATTAGTTAATTTATTAAAAACCATTAAAACTTCATCCAAAGAAAATAATGAACAAAAACTCTTTGCGCGTTTTAAAATAGATATTACACATGGATCAATACATGAAATTGATATACTTAATTCTGAAGCAACCACAAAGTAAAAGAAATAATTTAATAGTCTCATTAAAAAAAAAATATCTTATGACATTTTTTAGATATAATTATCTTCGTTCAACACTTTTCCCTTCAATTCAAACTGTCAAACGCAAACTTTGTTTTGATGATCAGAAGGTAGAATAGATTTGTTTTGTTTTTTTTCCTTATTAAAAGTTTATTCATATTGTAAGAAATACTTTTTCTTAAAGTTTGATCTCTCCTCAATCGGTGGTTATCTTCAATTAGATCGTTGTATATATCCATATATTACCACATCATCTGATATTCTTCTTAATTTAAATGATCTTCGTAAGCCATTTAGTTCAACATTAAATATTATAATGCCATATTTCAATTCTCAACCAAAAAATTTAATAAATAATTATATGAAAATAGTTGAATATGGTACACGTTATATAAAAAAATATAAATATTATTATAAAGATGTTGATGATAAATTTATTTCTCTTTATCATTTACTTTTATGTCATCGTTCGTTTTTCTTCGTACAATTGTTTAATTCAAAAAAAGTTTCATTAAAAATTTTACATGAATATTATCGATCAGATTTTTCAAATTTATTAATAAAAAATATTTCGAATAGTGGATATTTAAATAATCAACCTTGTATTAATGGATGGTGTTTATTTGATTCAACATTAGACAATGAAAAAAAATCTCGTTTAGCTACACAAGATGAAACTATTTTAATCAATTGGCTTTTAATTTATGATAATAAATGTATTTATGTACATAATCAAATAAATGATCTTATTCTTGTTAAACAACATTTATGTGTAATTACGGAAAAAATGAAATTTATTGAAAATGAACATATTAAAAAACGAGCAATATTAAGTAATCATATCTCTATGTAATATAAGTTTTTTCTTCTTTTTTCTTTTTACGTCTGTTTTTTTTTTCTTAATTTCAATGTGTTTTATATATGAGATGTGTCTTCGAATGATTATTAAAGGAGCAAAAATAAAAATATTTGGTTAGTTATTTCACATAATATAATTGAAAGCATAGTTGTAAAATTTACTGATGGTTTTGATTAGATTGTCATGAAATAAGCTACAGTCTTCGTCGTGAACCAAGTAAAGCTGCACAATATGGACAATAATGTTCGATATCCTATAGAAAAAAAAGAAAATAAACAAGAAGCTTTTGTTCTTATTATTTTGTTTTTATTAAATCTTAATTAACATACTTTGAGACTATCAATACAAAATGGAATAAGACAACAACCTAGCCAACCACCCATTAAAAGAATTCCACCACAAATTAACCATGGTAGTACACCGTCTTTTTTTTCTACACGTGTGACAATGACTTGATAACAATGAGGACAAGTACATTGTACAGGTATATCACCAAACATCAGCGATTGTGCTGCTATGAGCATATTAGTAGGAATGGATGATGCTTGCGGTGGTAAAGCCATAACAGATGTTGGATACATACCAATATGTGGTGGTTGCGGTGGAAAATCTGTAGCAGATGTTGGATACATACCAATATGTGGTGGTTGCAGTGGAAAATCTGTAGCAGATGTTGAATACGTACCAAATGTAGTTGGCATCGATGGAACTTGCAAAGAGTAAGTTGCTTGTTCTATAAAATTTAAAAAAAAATAATTTTTCATATAGAACTATATTTTTATTAAGTAACTATATTACCATAGGTAGGAAGAGCATTTGATTTTACTTCTGTTGGATAAACACTCGTCATTTGTGTTTTTTTTTAGCTACTTTGACTCTATAATGAAGATTTTCTGAATAGAAAATCTCTCGAACCTCGTTTATTATTTTTTCCTATTCTATTCACTTTTTTTTCTGACGTCATTCTTTCTTGTTAGACTAGGGCAAAAATGACAGAATTTATTTTCTTTTTTTTTTTTTGACTACCCTCTTACATTTTGTTTTCCTGTCGGCTAAAGGAATCAGCAAACTCAACAAGACATAACAGAACATCATTGACGCGACAGCAGAAAAAAAAAGTTTAAGTTTCTTACAGCTCAGTTATTTTTGCCTAATAATTAAAGAAATATATGCAAACAATTGAACTGTTTTATCAAAAGATTCAATATTTATATGTGATCTTTATTGCATATGAATAAAATATTTGAAGAAAAAAATAGAGATTAAGATTGTATTATAGTCCAATATTTATCAGATATGGTCATAATCTTTTGTTCATACCAAGCATTACGCCACAACTTGGACAATAATGTTCTGTGTCCTATATAATTTATAAAATAGACAAATATCTTAAAAAGAAATAATACTGACTTTACAACCATCAACACAAAATGGTATAAAACAACAAAGCCATAAACCAAACAAGAAAAGAACAGCACAAATGATCCAAGCTAAAAGTCCAGACTTCTTTTCTGTTCGTGTAACAATCTGTCTTCCACAATGAGGACATGTGCATTGCATTGGATAGTCACCTACAATAACAATTGGAGCTCCGACATATATCGGTTGTGCCATTGGTATTGGTGGTGGTGGTGCTTGTTGATAATTAACTTGTTTTTCAGAAGCTGTTCAATAAAGTAAAATCACTAAATAGTAAATGAATCATATAATTTAGGTTACCATAGGGTGGTGGTGCTGATTCCGAGCTCATTTTTTTTTGCTTAGTCTTTCGTGAAATCTAACAAAATGAGGCTTGCAACAAAATAAAAAAGAAATATTTTCATTTATATAAAAGCAACTGACGATTACAACGCTAGTATAAAAATGTAGCGATAGCAACAGCACAAAAAAAATTTTTTATTGTTGACAATATATATGCTAAAACATAAGTTATATGTAGGAAAAAAAACAGAAAAAAAAAGAACAGAAACAGCAAAGCAGAAGTATTTCTTACTTTGGTTAACAATAAAAATAGGCGTTATTAAAATGGAAAGTTAGCAATGTCATTAGTCTTCCTACTGTTTAGAATTTTTAATATATTATATATATTTACAGTAAAATGTTAGGAAAATATCATAATTTCCTATTGACGCAAATAAGTTACTGGACGATATAGAATAGTCAGCAAACTTAAATCAATATGAACATATTCTTTCTCTAGAATACAATGATGTATTCTACTTTTTTCTTATTTCAATCAAATAAACAATATATAAAGTCCTCAACGCGTACTTATTCTTCTAATGAATGATGTGAAATTTAGTAGAGATAAAAAAACGTCAAAAGTACTATTATTGCAGATTCAGAACGCGCCTATTTACTAACACTGTTTGATATGTACATCAACATCCGGATCTCACACTTAAAGATAACTAACAAGGTGTATTCAAATAGTGTTTGTATAGTTGTTGGCATTTGTTTGTTGTACTAAATCCTTATTTTTTCTTCAGATACTCATGCAACAGTTTCCATAGAATAGCGCGATACATGTTTTTCTATTCAGATGCTTGAGTAACAAGTTAAACTTTCCAATGAAGTTTAGTCTATAATAAAAAGACTAGTTTGCATTTATTTTTTGAAAATGAAAACAAGGTTTGCTGTTATAGACATTGACTTGTTGGATAAAAAAAAAATTTTATCGATAGAATGTAACCAATGTCTATTTAAAAGGCAGAGTGAATATTTTTTGAATAACTTCTAACAGAAAGAAGATAGAGAGCTGGGACTTTCATCGTCCTAAAGATCAAATAAAGATACATTGAATCATACATTATACGATATTTTTGACATGATTTTTTTAAAGTTTTCAATCTACCTCTTTGAAAACAAGTCAACCCTGTAAAGCGTTTACGCTGAATCTTCAATAGAAGATCTAAAAAACTGCACAAGTTTCAGATGTTTAAAACTAATCATTCAGGAGTCACAGGCTTTCCAGTCAAAGCTCTAAATGATTATTTTAGCCATTTGTGTAAAAAACATTTTTCTTTATTTCCTTTTTTGATAAAAAAAAAACTTTTTTTCACACTCAGACAATTGATTTAAACACACTTTAAACTACAAATTAGGAAACGTACATGTGTAATTCGATGCATCTTTTTCTTCTCTTTCAAACGATGAAAACTGCAGTTCTCTATCTCTTTTCTATCAGAAATTATTTAAAAACTATTCACTCTACCTTTTAAGTAGGCATGGGTATAATCCTTACATATGAGGGAAAAATAAATATTATCGAAATGTTATTATTATGATATCACTTGAGTAGTAACGTAATAGCACAAAACAATAGAGCATCATTTATACCAGAGCTCCGAATGGGATGGGACAATCCCATCCCATCAGATCCCATGGGAAAAAATTTTTTTTAGCTAGGGACGATGAGATGGGATGTGACAATCCCATCGCATTCCATCCCATAGGACAAAATTTTGTTTAGCTAGGGACGATGGGATGGAATGGAGCGATTTTGTGATCCCATGAGATTTTTGCTTCTCTTTACCATGAAAAAATCCAAGCTTGTTTGGTTGAAGTATGGTTTCAGCCAGTACTTTATGCTAGTACTGAATAATAGAATTTACTATATTCTGATTGTTGATCTTATTCCTTCAAAGTAAATACTTTCGTTCCTGGTTTTTATACTATTTTTCATAAAAAATGTTTCAATCTTTTTTCCAGGTGCATAAAAAGACCTAAAACTGTTTTTTTTTAGTGAAGATTCATCTAAACGAAAGAGTTTTTGAGTCTAAAAAAATAGTTTTTGCCATGTAACTTCAATATGAAAAACAATTTGAAATTGCATGTCGGAAGAAGAAACGTTGTATAAGAAAAAAAAGTTTTACGAGCAAAACTGAAGAGGCGTTTGTTGTTTTACCTATAGATAAGAACGTGAATAAGACTATGAAAATATTTTTTTCATAAAACGTGTATTACTCTTAATAGTTTGCGAAACTTATCTCAGTGCGAATTGAAAACGAAAGTAATTGTTGATTTTTAGTTTTATAATAGATTAATTAAATACATCTAATATTCTTAAGATATTTATTTTTATTTAGATTAAATATTCTTGACAAAAAGAGTAACAATCAAATAAAATGCATCGACAATCATATCATCAACAGCCAATAGCAATACCGACATTGCAAACGCGATACCGCCCAGTAACTAACAGCGTGCCTGGTGTTGTTCCCGGCATTTTCGGTGCTGCACAATTAATTCTCTGCATAGGTATAGTTAGTCTCGAAATATTAAGTATATATTATGATCCTGGTCGAGGTACTGTTTATGCTGGTTTATGGTGTTCAGTTGTGTTTTCCATCACTTGGATATCTATGTTTTGTTATCGTAAGTCTTACTTAAATAGATGATTACATAGATTTCTAACTAATAAATATTTGTGTATATAATTAGTATGTTGTGGTAAGTCATCAGGATGTGGAATTTATCTGGTTATTCAAAATACAATTAACTCGATCTTTACCATCATACTTATGATATTCACTTCCCGTTTTGTTAAAGATCCTTGTTTATGTTACGATGCTTTATGTTTCGTGCCTAATTGGAATCATTTTTACGATGATGATGATGATGATGATGATTATAATTATTTTTCACAATTATGTACTTCAAGGACATTACGAAAATTACCAGCACTCAAAGGTCTTCTTGCTTGTGCTATTTTAATGCTCATTTGTAATATTTTATTCATTGTTATACATTCAATTGTTGTGATTCGATTACGTCGTAAGGCAAGATCTAATACTCGACAACATGATGTTGTGTATCATCAACAATCCGCAGCTGTACAATTAGGAAGTCCACCACCGTATCAGCCATCTGCTATGACCTATTCCCCTCATCCACATCAATATTTATATCCAGTTCAAGATATACAAACAGCATCACAACAGCCATCAGCACCACCACCTTATGAAATCTATTCAAACAGATATTGATTTATTGAATTCAATCCTTTAATCAAAGACAACATTTTTTTATTTATAAAAAAAAATAAAAATAAAAAGATAGAAGATCTATCTAAAGTGTATTCCATATGTCACATCAATTTTCTGTTTAAATACAGTAATACAACGAAATTTTTTTATCATTACTTTCAGAATTAATCTGTTGAATATCATAGAAGAACTATTTTCTTTGTGTTAATTTAGTTTTTGCAGATCAAAATATGCTTTGTTTAGCTTTGTATCTGATCATTGATGGATGTTTTTCATGTTAAACAAATTTTTCACATCTTCTTTCGATCATAGTAAAATTTATCACAGATTCATTTGTTCGAGCTTTCGTTAAAGTATTTTGTCAATCTTTTTCCCAAAGCAAGATAATATTTTTCGGTATGATTTATTCTATATGGTATATTCGGTTTTCTTATGCTCAGTGAATATTAATAATGTTCGAAATACTCATTAAGAGATGATTTTATTTATTTATCTATTGTTTGTGTTCTCTGGCGTTTCTTAGAATTTTTTTTTAATTAAGTTAATGAATATTTTTTTAAGTGTCAAGAAATATCTAATAATATCATTTAAAAGATTCTAGGTTCAATTCAAATTAAATTATAGAATATATTATCCCACTCGACAGAAAACACAATTTTTTATATTAGTTTCCAAGTGAAATAGCTTATTCAGCTTTCTTATTTTATTTTTTTGAATGAGAGTATACACTGATTGAGTTTATTCATATTATGATGATCTCTTGGTAATTAATTATTATAATGGTACCACTTCTTCTCAATGAAGGTTTGTTTTTATAAAAAAGAAAGATTACTTTTAATTGTGAAATGTTTGATCTCACTATGTGTAAACATCATTCTATAATACTCATTGTAAATTATTACTTATTAGTTGTTGTCCTTGTAATGCAATGTATTCACCGAACTATTCAATTCTTGTTTTGTTTTTCTTTAATTTAAATTGATGCCTATGTGCCTCCTGGACTACAAGCAATTATTTTGAAATCAATTTTCACTCTGTAGTCCTTTCTTATGTTTCATAATTTGTTTTTTCAAAGTTATAAATAATTTCATAGTCAATGTTTGACATTTGCTTCATGCTAAATTGATTAATCTGACTGCAGATATGTAAAAAGTTTTCTGTCCAAGGTACTGTGCACTTAAAATAACGATAGATTTTTAAATGTTTGCTCTGTGTATAGAATACAATTCAACTCATATTATAATATCAAGACTAGACCTCGATCCGGCCTAAGGCCGGCTACAAAAGTCGGCTGACTGCCGAGTTCGAAAAATATAGAAATCTGATCCTATACGACATCGACTATTTATAAATCTTAGACTCGTGTAGAGGAAATCATAATGAATCTGAATCGTAGATTCCATATAAGAAAGCTCTTAGAGCTGTTCATTATCGTTCATTGTCTCATCTACATAAACCATGAAGAGACTTTTCTAAACGTTTGAGACTCTCTCATCGATGAATTTAAGTTATGCAAGACGATAATTAAAGTATATATGCACATAAGATCAGAGATATGAATGGTCTTTTAAGACTGAGTCATGTATGACCATATAAGGAAACTGTCCGCTGTTAGTTATCATTTGTGCCATTATTAATATCTTCCGAACGTTGTCGAATTTCGAAAAACGGATTTCAGATGTGCACTCGTCACGTTCTCAGGATCTCGTCAAACTTTTTGTCGACTAAAAATGAGACTCAGGAGCTGAAGACGAGTGGCTGCCTCGAATCATGACTCATGTGTTGAGAAGAAGAAGAAGGAGAAGAATTTGCCATGGCAACTAAGCGAGTGAAAAGCAATAAGTCGGCCACTGCACTTCGTGCAGACAGTCGACTTAATAAAAGATGAGTGACGCACAAAGAGCTTCTGAATTGATCAAGATTAAGAGATGTATTTGCACTTTCTCTCAACTGAATTACTCGAATTTTTCTTTCGCCATTTGTAGTGCAAGAAGGTTTTCAATTCACAAGTATCTTACACGATTGAAAAAACTTTTCAAGTTTTTGCAAGAAAGAATAATATCTTTGTATCGATTTCAAACAACAATTTTTCAATATTTTTAACGCCGAAGGTGTTCGTGCGAACAACTATTTATCCAAGCCATGCTTTCCATAAACTACAATGAATTAAGATTTCTTTGAAGATTTCTTATGCAACTGGCGCTGCTTCGCCGTGCGAGTTTTTCTGGTGGGAAAATTAAAAATTCCGCTATCTTGTCTTGTTTCATTCGAAAAACTAAACTGTCGTTAAATACCAATAATGACACTTCTTGAAAATAGTTGCTGCCAAAGACGGTCACGATTGTCTAAAAAATGAAACTCTTCAGACGTAAAACTTTCGTAACATGTCATTCAAACTAAACATCAGAGAGTTCTTAGATAAACTATAATCACATAGTTGTTCCTTTTTTCATAGCAGGAAAAAAATTTTAGCTTTACTGTATAGAATGTTGGAAAAAAACATCATTTATTTTTGTATTTTAGAAAAAGAAACTTAGCAAGCCCAATGCTTCTTAGTTGTCAGATCTTTTTACTAGTAACAATAAAAGTTTTCTATTATGAGAGGCTTCACTTGATACTCGTTAATTATGCTTTTATCTGAATGTAACTTTTTTCTCTTTCAATCAACATAGTTCTTTCTTAATTTATTTTGCCTAAAGAAATAGATTTTATTGTCCATTTCGACATAAACATTTCTACACATTATGAAAAAAGAATAGCATTTTTAAGTAATATTAATGATATCAATGTTACCTTACAAAAACAACTATGAAACTTTATATCATGCAATAAAGTTAACACCTTTCTATTTCGATACAACAAGGTAATCAAGTAATGATTGTAAATAAAATAAAACATATATAATGATTATTTCATAGATAAGTATCAAATGAACAATTTTTTAGAACGTCTCATCTGAAAAGTCTTTTATTTACTTTAAAAATGTTTTAATAATGAATTAACAAAATCCACTCAGTCAGAATGATTTGCCGGAAATATCGTACATTCTTTTTTAGTATCCGACTAAAATTGAGTTGCTTATGCATGGATCATAGTGTTTGTCAGAATCTTAACGAAAGAATAGTTCAAAAAAGAACGTTCCTCACATCATTTGCCAGAACATTGTAATCGATGCTTATGTAAAATTGAAGACTTGTAACCGACATACTCATATTCAAAACTATGTTTAAAAACGGATGTACTTTTTTTCCAGTACCATTCAAAAAAAAACCATCTACTTGTTTTTTTCTTCAATTATCTTCTATAAAAAGACGCACAAGAAAAATCTATCCGTTTGCAATATGTTCGACAGTGTATTACATTTTATACATTTATGGCTACCGCTATGTTTGCATTTGATTTGATAGAAGATTTTATTTTGGCACTAATATTTTTTTTCTCTTTAATTTATTCTATTTCAATTTTAATTAATCCTCAATTTCATTGTTGTTCTAACATTTTTACACTTAACGTTAGTACTGCTCTCATATGTTGCTGCATCTATTGATTAATTCATTGCTTGTTATTGGATTATTATCCGACAGAAATTTCTATCGAGAAAAGATGTGTTTTTCAAATCTATGTACAAATAATGTGTACTTATCAATTAGCATTAGCGTCAATAGTGGTACCTATTAGTCGTCTCTTTCTAATCATATATCATAGTAAATCATTTTTTAAGACAAAATATTGGTTTAAATTATGTATTATCAGTCAATGGATAATTAGTTTTATTCTGTCAATGCTAATAATTCTAGGACACAAACCAGTAAGATAATTTACTTGTATAGTAAGTTCTATCATAATTAAAAACTCAAGTAAAAAGTGTATACAATATCTACGAGATATTATCGCAAGTATTTTGTGGAATTCACATATGTTTTCGAAGGTAGTAGTAAGTATAACTTTTAAGTGGGAGTTTTGTAACTCCTCTGCCCTAATCAGATCTTATCTACTAAGGAAACCCGATGTCAGACTCTTTTCTCAGTGTTCTTTAGTGACAAGAAAAGGTGTTGAATGACATTAAGGATAAAACTTAGACTGTTCTAAAGTCTTCATCGAATCAAGATGCCAAGAATAATGGTTAGTCATGTGATCAACATAAAAAATGTGAACTGATCAAGTTAAAACTTTAGGAAATATTTAATATCAGTGTTTGTCAACTTATCGCAATATATAATGAGGCTAAAGAACACATATGAGATCCACATTTCAGTCTCCAAAGAACTGCGCGAACAAGCTTCTTTTGAACATTACGAATTATTTCACATCAATGAATTCAGTGACAAAGATAGGAGAGGCATTGGTTTTAATGTTTACTTGATTTTATTTGTATTCAGTTACTATGTACCAATTTCAAAAGTACGATTTTAAAAGTTGATTGAAAAAATGTTGAAAGATGTTTTTTTTTATATGTGTTTACTTGTAGGATTGCACGCAATCATGCTGGCGCTCCATTCATAGAATGATTATAATTGCTTCAATACCGTCCTTGATTTCTTCTTTGTCAATGCTCTAGTCTTCATCTATATTTGTTCTATGTTTCGTCATGTTCAATCTACGTCTCAAACCGAACAAACCGATACTAACAAAGTTTTACACGTAAAAGTTAGCCATCATGATATTAATTTACTACGATACATGACTTGTATATTTTGTGTATTTATTGGAGCTTGTCGTCCGATTTTTTTACTTTTAGCAATTGATTTTAGAGACAAGTTTGATTCAATTACATACATAATGCTTATTATTTTGTCTGAAGTCAATTTACTTAGTATTATTATCAATTTATTTCGATACAATCACAAATTGAGACACTATTTAATAACTAAGACTTTACGACGCAGTTAAATATTGTAATTTATCTCCTAATAAATGTTATTATATACTTACTGAATTAATTTTTTAGTATTTTGATAACAGTATTGATTTGTAATAGAGATCATTGATGACTAGATGAGTCATTTATGCTGTTTCAAAAGAGAATGCAAATATGTTATGGTATTCTTCATGTTGATGTTACTTTTTAATCAATAGATTTGATATGATAAGTTGTTGATGTAAGAATTATATATCAGTTTGCATAGATAATCTGAATCTGAAATTTCGATTCACTATGTAAAGATCTACGAGTCACAACTATTTTCTAACACTGTTCTCTTGAAAATATGGTTCTGTCGTTTTTTGCACCAAAGTTCTATGAACTTTTCTGACAATATTGAACAGTAAGCATTATTAGCAATTTAAACTTTCATTTAAAGTTTGATCGTTTTACTTCTTTGTTTTTCATGTGGATAATAAAAATTAAAAACATAGCTAAGTCTTTTAAATGTTGCGTGATACATTAAAGAGAAATATTTATCAATCTATTCATGTGCTAATCACAAAAATACTATGTATAATAATCAAAAATACAATATGCTTATTACATTGATAGAATGAGATCAGTTTACAATGGTCATCTATACAATATACTATGCTGAGCGCATTTTCATAGACTATAATAGTTAATTCTCTTCCTGTTTTTCCTAGAAATTATTGTCTCAAGCTTTGGTCTTATACATTAGGTTACTTTCACCTGCTTTTTAACGACAGTCGTCAATAGCATGTCTTAAGATGTCGGAAACTACTTGAGTATTTATAAAATACGCTTTCTTTGAATGTGATGATATTCCACATCTATTCTTAAAGTAAATTGTTTCAAAGTCTCTTTCAACTATCATACATATTGATTTTGTTATTCTTTTTTTTTTTTTGTTTTTTATTGATGTTGCTATGGGTGACTAACCTAACTCAAGATGATTCAAGGTACAGTTATTATGTTGTTGATACAAAAACAAAAAGAAAAAAGAAAGAAAATTATTATAATTACTTCGAGGCCTGACTTTCAGGTATTTCAATTGAAAAAAGATGATTCACACTGTTACCTATATGCACTTATAAAAGTAATTTCGATCATACTAACTAATTAATGTAAATTTGAGACAGGTAAAACCATATTAAGTAAACGATGCAAGAGAAGTATTCATATTAGTATGTAATAATTATGTATGTTTTAAACTCCAATAGAATATATGCTTCACATTGACTAATGAAAAATACTTTTGCCTATTTTTTTTCTTTTAGAGAGCATTCAATACTCATATTTACATTCAGTTTAAACAACGAATTTTTTCGATCATAAATAGTTTGAATCAAATAAAAAACTATTTAACAGTTTTTACCTTACATAGATTGATGGATCATCTTCCTTATTTTTTAAAACGATACGATCTTGATCTTCAACCTAGTAGTTCAAATTGTATTGATATTGAATCGGCTAAATCTATTTTATATCCTGGTGCTCATATTGCCACTTCAAATCCTTATGAACATTATCATCATGGGATTGTTGTCGATACGAATACACCTGATATATCCATTATTCATTTATGGGGTCCTGACAAACAATCAGGTCGTGTTCAAACTACTACTTTGCCAATATTTATTGCTGGTAGTATCGATAATGTAGGCAAAAGAACACGTCGTCTTTATTTAGTCAATTATGATGATGATACTTCGAACAAACAACAGGAAACAGTTAAAGTAGCAAAAGAAATGCTTGCAAAAGCTGATGATATTGTATATGACATAGCTACTTTAAATTGTGAAAGTTTTGCTTGTTTTTGTCGAACCGGAAAATGGAACAGTGAACAAATCGAAAAAATTTCGAATTTACTCATACAAAATGCTTTAGAAATCTATGAAACAGTGAAAGATGCTGATGAAAAAAATACACAGAACATTTCTTCACTATTACAAGTCATTCCATCGGATGCTTTAAATCAATCGGAAAAAGAATTGTATGATCAACTTTGTCAACATTGTCATAATGAAAAATCTGAACAATAAGAAAACAAGCATTCAATGTGCTGATACTAAAAACTTGCAAATCATGTTCAAAATCTTTACTTTTGATCACGAATATGCTTATATCACTTCTAGTATAGTTTTATCAATGGCATTTTACGTAGATGATAGATTGAATGTAATGATCACGTTAGAAAAATTAAATAAAATACCTATTTTTTATATGTTCGATTGAAAGCTTCTTAAATCTTTATGAGATCACTGAAGTCTTTAAAATTGATATGAATTTTTGTGTATTGTATAATGTATTACTCAATTAACGTCACCTCTAAATAATATCAATAGTATTCTATGACATACTTTGACAACTTAAGAAAATATTTTCTTCAAGAAAAAAGAATTCTTTCATTTTAAATATGTATGAAAAATACGTACCCCACATGATTGGAGTGTTTAGTTCCAACACGTATCAATAGATGAAAATTTGAATATCATGTTACATATTTTTCCTCACCATTGTTTGCTTCTAACTACCTAAGCGATCGATAATATTATTGATGTATTTTTGTATTTTCATCTTGTAATGTATTATGGCTTCTCCAATGAATAATCGGACCAACAACAAACTATCAGCATTATGATTATTAAGCTGATTGCTTCAAATTCACGCATCACATGTGTATTTATATTTTAATGCTGAAAATAGAGGAAGAGACAATCATTTATATCACTGAAAGCTGAGCTACACAAGTTTCGTATTGTCGTGAATGATTATCATGACATATTTCAACGAATACTTTAAGATAAAATAATAAAAGGTGAGTTTTATGTTGCGCTTGCATAATGATACTACTCCGTTATCCTTTCAAACATTTTCTTTTTTATTAAGATCATCTTGTTTAACCTATGGATAGTCAAAATATAACTATTTCGAAGTATCTCGAATCATGCATCTAGTATATGTCATATCATAAGTCATGGGAATGCGACACATTTTATTCACATTGTTCTCGATACATTGAAAACTTATTTTCTTTCTGTGATGAAGTTAGATTTATCGAACTTCATGAACAGATGGATTCAAAGAAAGCCGTCATGGAGAAAAATGAGCACTCACTCTCAATCTCGTCTTCTTCGTAATGCTTCAATTCATTTTCACATTCTCAGTTGCATATTCAAGTCAGTACCGCAAGTTTTAGCCAAACCTATAAAAAATAAGTTTTAAATACTCGTGATCGCTATTTTCTAGATCGTAACGCCATGAAGATATCCAAGAGTCTAGTATGATGATATCAGTACTAAAAAGCAGAACAAATCAACACCACATATTGCTACTTTCAAATAATTATGGTCAAATTCAATAATCACTATGATAAAATATGATCAAACTCGTTAGAGTGAATTTCATCGATTTTGACACTAAAGCTTATAGAAAACACATAGAGATTATCTTGACCCTAATAAAGAAACATATAGGACATTTCGTCTGACTTGCTCGAGCCCAGTATTGAAAGATACAAGTTTATTCTTTACTTGTTGATATTATTATGCTATTGTTGACGGTCATCAAAACCGAAAATCCTTTTTAGTTTCTTTTTTTGCTTGTACTGGAAATCATACTCAACTGATTTCTAACGACCTCTATCAAAACTGAACTTATATATGCTCGATTTATGTTAAGTTTAATTCTTAAAGTTTATATGACTGTTAAAATCACGAAATTTAATTGTTTTTTAAAAATAAATATATTTACAAAGTACAAATATCAAATTCATATCCAATCTGATGACCATCAATGATTCATGTCGTTTGTTATTTGTTACTTTCCTTTATTTTGATGATGAGAACGACAATTGCCATATTCCTTATTCTCGATTGATCAATTTTTTTTGGATTATTTTCTTTTCTTTGTGTAGCATCGTCTCTCGCTTATTCATTCTATCTCATTTTACATTCCACTTCCTTTTGAAATACAGAATGCAGTCATATGAAGAACCTCCTCCGCCATATCCTGGTACAATACCAAATCCAGTAAGAGCCAAAGATGACTATAAAGGTATACCAGTATATGAAATTGGTTCGAATGATACTCCTATTTGTAAGTTTTGTTTTTAAAATCATTTCTTATTGCAGTTTAAAATAAAAATAACCTTTGCCATTTTAGATAATGAAGTCACATATCAACAAGTACCGGTATCAGCACCTGGACCAATTCTAGTTGGAACACATATTGTTCAACTTGGTCGTAATCCAATTCATTGTATTTGTCCTCATTGTCATCAACAAATTGTTACACGAGTCGATTATGTATGGATTTGTAAAATAGAAAAAATTTTTCATTATCTTTTTATCTATTTAGTATTCTGGTTCATTTGCATGGCTTATGTGTTTGTTACTTACGGTTATTGGGTAAATAAAGTTTAATTTTTTATTCATCTTTTTTTTTAATAATTTATTTAATTTTAGTTGTATTCCATGCTGTGTAATTCCGTTTTGTGCAACATCATGTCAAGATGTTACTCATATATGCCCATATTGTTCAACAATAATTGGTCGTCGAAAAATTCTTTAAATATTATTCTTTATACTTGTACGAAGTCGGTTTTTCTTTTCTTCTTTGATATGTAATAATACATATTTTTTACTAATCACGCCCGTTTATTTTCTCACATTGTTCTCTATTTATTGAAAAAACGCTTATTAGTTAGTGTCTATTTTTTTGTTACTAGTCATTTTGCTTCTCGCGTCTATTAAATTTCATTTGTTCAATTATTTATTGAAAACAAAAATCAAGATCCTATTTGTTCTCCTTTTTTTTTGTCAATCAGAATTAAAATTATTTATAAATAACAAAAAAAAATCTATTTTAAGAATTTGTAGATTACAGATTTGAATACTTAATGTCGTTTCGTACCAGTGATTCTTCAGTAACATCAACATCCATAATGAAAAAATCATCATTACAATCGGATGTATGTTGCAAATATTTTTATAGAAAGAATTCGTTATAGTGATTTTTATTTGATATTAAAGGAATTAAGAGAACGTACAGAAGAATTCAAACAATCCTTGGTAATATGGCGTAATATTTTATTACCTTTAAATAATTTACTTGAATGGGAACATAAATATGATCCATTTGTTATTTTTGGTATTATTACTTTTATTTTCATGTAAGATAAATTTTAGAAATTGTATCAAAAGTAATATGTATATTTATATTTAATTATTAGCTTTATACTTCAAGCAAATCCACCTGTATTGACACTCGTTAGTTGTGTTGTTTTGGCTTTTGTACTTATTGATTTGATTGTACCAATTATCGCTCGTCTTCTTTTTAAAAATGATAACTGGTCAGTTGTTAACAAAAAAAAAATCATCATTTTTGATTTTTTACATTATTCTATATTTACTATAGGACATCAGCTAAAGATGCCAAATATACTCGATTATGTGGACGTATTGCTAATTTTGAACAACATATTAAAAAATTATGTGAATCAGCTTTGAAAATGCGCAAAGAACGACCTCTTATGGTTATAGATTAATTATTAATATCCTTTTTTTTTAAAATTTTATTTCTATTTTAGTATTTGATGCTCGGTGCAATTTTTCTTTCTTTTATTGCATATTGTGGTCAACGTGTTGATAATCTTCTTCTTAGTTATTTAACAAGTAATGTTTGTTTGTTTTTTTTCTAATTTACAAATACAATAATTTTGAGTTTTTTTTCTTTTAGCACTTATAACTTGTCTTATACCTGGTATTCGTAATCGTCAATTAATTCCATTGATTCGTCAACAAATTACTGATTTTTGGAATAATAAAAAATCAATACCAAATGTATCTGTTTTAAATTCAACTCCAACAAAATCATCAGTTAAAGCATCAACAGTTATTCGTTCATCATCAAATCAACCAACATATACACTTTATTCAACTACATCTTATGGAAGTAACAAAACAAAAGCTCAATAATTGTAATGATAAAAATGACAAATATTCAAAACGATTTTCTCAGACCTTTCTTTTTTTTTTTTTTACCTTCTCAAACTTGTACAAAGTCACTTAAAGTGTATAGATTCTATATTTGTATCTTCGTTATATGTATCAAAATCTTTAAAAGACAAAAAAAATTAAAACCAATGATTTGTATTTACATAGAGATTATATGATCAAACTTTCTTAATAGATATTCGTTCCTTCTTCTTTTCCTATTCAATAAAATGCATTACAGAAAAATCTTATTTTGTTTTTAATTTTGATCTTTCAAACAATAAGCCATAGATGCACAATTAATTGAAATAATATGAAATGTATTTTAGATATATATTAACAATTATCTTTAAATATCTATTTAATAAAAATCTAATATTTTGGTAACGGAATAAATTCATAGATAATTATTTTACTCTGTATGCTTTGAAATCTTCTGGTAAGTCTAGTTTTTTTTTTTACTAACATTCAATTCTTAATAGATTAGTATTTGTGTTGTGAATAAATGTCTATGCCGATGTACTCGTTGTACTGCTTGCATGTGATGAGAATGATGCAATATTTGAGAAAGAATGATGTAATTCTGATAAAGATTCTTTTTCTAATGCTTACGTTTAAAAATGACTCAAGCATGAATTTCAATGAACATGAATATTTGATAAAGTTTGTTCGAAATATCTTTTGGTAATGAATTAGACTAGATCTAACTTAAAGAATTGTAAATGGATATCGATACTAACGAAATTTTAATATAACTTCATAATTATATAAACATATATAATAACCTATTATTATTATCTATTTGATTTTAAAAGCAATTATATTCATTATCATATTCCATCGTACATTTTCATTTTATTTTTTTCTTTTGCATTTCATTATATTTAGTTTTTATTATTAAATTATTTCAAATAAATCTTTTATTATCTCTGTTCAAAATATTGTTATATTCTAAGCTTTTAATTGGATCTATTTATTAATTTAAGTTTTGGGTTTTTGAAGTATAATTAATTATTTTCAATAAAAACAAGAATCAATGCTATTTTTGCATATTTGATCATGCTCGATACATAATAAACATCATTATCTTCTATTTATTTTGCGATGCTGCTTTTTATACTATATATTTGTTATTCAGTTCGTCTGCATAGATTATTTCAGCTTCAATAAATATCCATCCAGATAGTTTCATATCGCTTTGCTAGAAGACATAGATTATTATTATTTTCAGTTGAATTCAGAACATACGCTATAATCAAAACATCAATGACATGGATCATATTTTCCAAAAAGAAAAAGATTTTTTTTTTGCCATTTAAATCACATTCAATATTCTGATTTCATTTTATTCAATTTATATATTGAAAAGAAATTTATAGAAGAAAAAAAAACATAATAATTAAAAGAATACGAAATCAATCGCCGCACTGTTTGTTGAATAGAACCAAGACGTGCTGTGAAATCATTACATATTTCACATTCGAACAAAAAGCTAATTTCTTTTTAATTATCAATCAAAACGAAATATAGATCATAACATGGAAAGAAAAATTCAATATAAGATCGACTAGAAAAAGAATTGGTTATAGAGCAGCATGAAGTTCAGTTTTAGCAAACTTTCAAAACATGATAAATATATTGAATGAGTTTTAACATAGTTGATATTGTGTCTATGTTTGACAGTTAGTCTATATTATGTAAAAGAGATCAACAAAGCATGACTTTTCCTATTCCTTGTGTTGCTAACACACAAAAAACTGTGTTGATAAAATCATTTGCATATTTTTCTTTTTGAATGAATAATTGATATGTTCAGAGACTTTCATTGAATAATGATTGTTCGATTTCTCCCGATACAACATTTTTAATCAAGATGAATTCAAGAAAAATTTGTTTCTATAACAATAGCAAAGATTAAATCTTTTTTCGTAAACGTATCCTTTAAACCGATTCAATTATCCTCTTGTAATAAATATTCTAGATTCTCCAGTGTGAAAGATCTTGCTATAAAATAAAAACAGAACTAATGCTGAGATATATAGGCGGTCGAAAGTTTTGAAACTAGAGTAGGTTCAAAAAACTTAAAAAACATCCTCACGGAGAATTTAAGCACATGGAGGAGGAGAGCGAATTTTTTTATATCATTCAGATGAAATATAGTTAGTGTTTTTTTTATTTCCAACTCACATTGAGGTATATTTATAAGTTAGTAAGGTTTAGAAAAAAAAAATCACAGCTTACGTCAAAACATGTGCACTGAAAAGAACACTTCAAAATTTGTTTATGTTTAATTTTGACTCTTGAAGGAAGATTTTTTTAATTTACTTTACTGAACAACAAAATCATGATTAAACAGCAATATTCACAAAAAAAAAGGAAGTACATTGTGACTTCGATCATTTTATTGAAAACATTTCATAATTATGTAAGCTTAGTCATTGAATGTGAAGAAAAATTTTAGCTTCTCTAACTCGAGTGTTCAGTGCATTTCTTCTTCACTTTCTTTTTCATAATTAAGTTATTGGCAATGATGTTATCCTTTGCGTGTCGAAGGTTATGAAAAACTTTTGAATTTTGTTTAAGAATCTCAATGCACTGCATAAATCTATCGATCTGATAGAACAAGAAACAAATATTCAAGCCTATGTAAGTCTTGTGGCTTCACCGCTTATGCTAACGAAGTATAACGAGTTTGAATGAAGAAAAATTTGATTAATACGTATCAATATTTTAAACCAAATAATGAAGAAAGCAATAGTCTTCATTCCATATTATGAAGATAATTCTGATTCGGTCACTTAAATTTTATTGAAAATAACGAATAACATGAGAGGCCCCTTTTTAGATCATGAAAAGAAAAAGATAATTAAACATCAAGATGGCATTGTAGACAATTCTTATTGTCGTCCATTTGTCTCTTATTGCGTATCAGCTATTAATAGTACAGTCAAAGATGCTAGCATAATAATATCCTATATACTATCATTATCATTAAATACCAACATGACCGTACTGTGCTGATAGTTTACAGAAAACAAGACCATAGAAACTAACAGAAATCTTGTCAATGATTACAAGATAAAAGGTCATAAAATGTTTTCGCTAAATATGTTAATAAGATTCGAAGATCAATGTACATATGAGAACAATTAGAAGAAACGCCATTTTTCCGACTAGTTCTTTGTTAATAAGTTTTTATATTATATTTTATCTACGGCAACTTTTTTTTCGTCATAATGATTTGAATACGAGTTTTTTTAACATTAAATTTCAATTAGAATTCATCTCTGAATGTTCATAAGTAGGTTGTCTTGCGAAAGATTGTCCTTAATCAGACTTAAAAGTGAGAGTATATTTCTTAACTTTATGTCGATTTGAAGTGTCATAAACAAACATTGACTTTGACTAATCTCTACATCATTGCTTCAACGATGCATTGTCAATTGAGTTGTTGCTATTGACATTGATTATATTTTATACGGCTAATCACCTTTGTGACAAATATGGTTGATTATGATTCATCTTTATATATTCATAATAATCATCAAAGACTTTCTAACTTACGTAATTTATCATAGGAAACAATAAAGATACATATTCGGAAATATATTTTTTTCTATCTTTTTCAAAATATTTATATTTGATTTCTTTTACATAATTTGTCAAAAGAATATTCTTTATCGCAGTTTGTTCTAATTCATATCGAAATAATCATTTACAAAGCAAGTACTTGGATAGAAGTGTTGTCACGTATACGATGACATATCTACCAAAATGCGAACAATAACTAAGCTGATTAGTATACAAGTGTTCACAATGTGGAATGCAAAAATTTATGTTGATCTCATTTCTAATGCGTTTTCAAATTGCGAACATGTTGATTAAAAATATATTTGGCCAACAACTGGAAAATGTGGAAAAAAACCATTTAATATAATAGTTACTAATATCGATTAATACGTGAAAATTAGAATGATTCATTCATTTATATCTATACTTTCATATGTAGTATTCTTACTTTTAAAAATAATTTAATTATAAAATCGGATCATGCTGACCATAATCATGATACCAAATTATCAGCAAATGATCAAACTTTATTTTTTCGGATTGAAACGTCACATATTATCTAATGTCAATTTGTATGATATTTAAAGTTCAGATAAAGTAGATTCAATCGATGTTCAAGGTTTCGTTTATATTGAAACGGTTATTGATAAATTTCAATGGTTTGATTTAAAAAATTGTCGTTATTGTTATAAATTTTTATGTATAAATAAAAAAAAATCATTTTTATTTTTAGTAATTATTTAAAAATAAAAATTATCAATGAGTTTCGAAAATATCTAGCGCTATTTTCTTAATATTTAATTTTTATATATATTTTTTTTTACAGAAAATAATAAATTATGCCGAAAGTTCGACGAAAACGATTAAGTACAGCAAGAAATCGTCTAAGCCGACCGAAGAAACTTTTAACCAAGGCTGCAACGACTTCCGTATGTGAAAGTCACATTTCTATATGTGTTTTTATGCCTCAAGAGGAAGTGATTCAAATGTAAACAGGGAAAAAAGAAAATGATTTACTAAAAATTTTCGATCATATATATCATACTGCCTTTATTTAAAAAAAAATATCATATATTTTCATAAGTCAGTTTTTTTTTCTTCACTATGTACAAAACGTCATACATATTTGAATAAAAGCTATTTGCTTTATTTTGTATTCTTTATTCACCGGTTAAGCTCGTTGTATTTCTTTTACCTGTTATTGTACGGGCACTATTATTTTTGTTGACTTTAAATAGAATCAACAAATAAAAGCTGTTTATTTTGACCTTGTTGCTCAACCCAATGGCTCGATTAAATCAAAATCAACAGGCAAATTTATTCAATTGTCGAAACCACCAAGAAATTTGAAAGTGTCTGATGATTGGGATGTTAAATCAGGCGATGTACTTTCATGGAGTGAAGGTCGACCAACTGAAACTTTTTTGTATGTTTAATTTTAAACAAAAGTTTTTTTTTTTTTTTTCATTTACAATATACAAATGTTTTTCTTTTCTTTATCATAGTGTCACATCAGAAGGAACACTTTTAAAGAATCCTGATACATCTGGTTCAGGCTATTTAACAATACCACTATCAATAACTTCTCAATTTGCTGATGCTGTTGATTATTTTTCTTCAGTTTTAGATTCTATTGGGCGTAATTATGTTTCATCGATTGAACTTGCACCAACTGATTCATTTTTTAAGAAACAGTTTTCGAAAGCACTTCCACCATCGATCAAAAATCGAACTGATTTATCATATTCATTGGATCCAAACGATGAAGTTCTCTATGTTACACTTTCATCAAAACCTAATCAATCTCAAAACTTTCAATTAGCAACAACTAAAATAGAAGATATTATTCAATGGATTTCAACAAGCAATGAAACAAAAGTTAAATTTAATGTTAAATTCGATTTCGAAGGAAAAGAAACATGCAGTAAAGTACCTCATGGTATTATCACGGGTTTACCAGTTGGATGGAAATGCGAACAACAAGGTTCATTATTATATGGTGAAAATATAATACAAGGCGAATGGAGATGTGAAGGACCAGAAAAAACGAAAGAAAAAGCACGAAAAGCGATTGAGAAGCATTATAAAGGGCTTGATATTGAAATAAAATAATAAAATAATTTTAATTGTAGATTAGAGAAAAAATAAATAAAGGCTTTTTTTAAGATGGCTTTAACAAGTATAACTAATGAACAACCAGCTCGATATTTTGATTTAGTTCACAAATCAGAAACATTAAAACAAAAAAATGGTCTTTCAATATCTGATGCTGCATTGAAAGATTTTTCAGAGAGTCGAACTGCTATTCCAACTGATTGGGATGTAAGTTTTGGTGACGTACTCAATTGGTCAAAAGACCGTCCAACAGAAGCCTATTTTGTTCTTGAAGATCGAACTTTATTAAAAAATCCTGATCGCAGTGGATCAGGTTATTTAACTATTCCATTTAATGTTACTAGTAAAATAAATTCTTTAATTTTAAACTTCTTATACGTTTTCATTTCTCTTAGAAAATACTCGAAATGCATTGCTTAAATATCAACATATTATTGAAAGTATTGGAAAAGATAATGTATCAACAATTGAAATGCATCCTGAAGATGTATTTATTAAAGAAAATTGGGGTGAAGTACCTCATGAAATACTTTCATCTACTGTTCAATTTAATTATAATCCAATTGAGGAAATTCTTTATGTTGATCTGCCACATATATCAAAATCTAAAGCATTTAAATTAGGTTCAACGACCATGAATAATATTCAAATATGGTTTACAAGGTAAAAAACAAAAACAAAAAAAAAAATTTCGAAAATTTTTATTTTTATTTTTTTTGTCTAATTTTAAAATTTCGTATCATAGTGCTATGGAAGATCAAGCTTCTTTCCGAATAAAATATAATTTTTCAGGTCCTCAATTTCATAAATATCATGATATATATAAATTACATCATCTAAATTTTTCATTACCACAAACTTGGTCAGTAGAACCCGGTACAACAGATATTGGTCATGATCATTGTCATGGTGAATGGATTTTTCATGGTTAATTTAATTTTTTCTACTAAAAGAAATGATATTTATTTTACATATTATTTTAGGTGATCGTAAACATTTACATGAAGCCAAAAAAAGTATTCATGATTTTTATAAAGACCTTCCTGTTACAATTGAAGACATACATAAAAAATAAATCTTCAATGTTAAATTAATTCCTCCTACAAAAACAAAACGAAAGATAATTGCTGAAAATGTTTCTATAGTATTTTCTCTGAATCTTTTTCTTTTATGTGATACATTTTTATGATTTTAACTCTTTTGTTCACTTTTCTACACAACTGTTTTGAATTATTATTTCGCACTATTGAAAGTAATAATAAATGAATCAACAAAAATAAAAGATAATATCAGTTTTTTATCAAGTTCTTGTTGAAAATCTTCTTTTTCTTTATACAAAAAAAAAATAATATATTAGCAAAAACATAGATGCTTCTTCAATATTTGACATTCTTCACGCCATCCGAATAATTTCGATTATTTTAAAAAGCATTTAACATAGTGATTAAAGCCAATAATGAGAAAAAATCATCTCGTTTGATAAAATGAAAATTAACCATGCCAGTCACGAAATAAATTTTGATTATCGATGAGGATGTATATCACGCATCTTCTTACTTGTACTTGGTTTATCTATGGGTGGTGGCGTTACTGGAGTCTCACAATTAATTTGATCAAGTCCTCTTGCATCGTCAACGTTGTTGTTGGTATTCATGATTTATGTTTCTATGCAACTTTGAACCGAAATTTCAAAATGATAAATGTTTCTAGAGATGCACGGTATTTATATCACCTGTGAAATACCTTTTTTCTGTTCTGTGTTCCTCCTACACACCACTGCGTGGCATGTTGGTAAGTGTGATATGTAAAAAGTATTCACTTCTCTTCAATGACTCAGTACATTGCAGTACATAGATCTGCGTGAAGCCACCATAGTGAATCAGATTTATTATTGGTATTATCCTTATTTAAATAGTATCCAATAGAAAAGTCTTCGCCCGCATATCTGTAGAAAGAAACAGGAAGAAAAATGCAACCTGACAACATTGTATAAAGAAATCGTTATTACGCCATCATTTCTTCTTGTTATATAATAGCTGAGTCATATCACAAGTATTTTATCTATTATTGAAAAAAAAATCAAAGAATAAAAGGAAAAATTTGATTTTTTGTTCGTTTTTCTTCATATTGATGTGGAAAATATAAATAGTGATTCGTTGGATTTTGTAAATGATCTCTAGTCAGATGATGATGACATTGACAATGACAACATTCAAATGATGTTGGAACAGTATACCATGCAGTAACATCAAAATTTGATATATTCAATTGATCATTTGGAATTGAACTTAAATTAGATAAACTTAAACGAGAATTTGAATCTTCTGAATGTATTCGTGTTGATTGAAATTGATGAATATTTTCATTTGATGAACTTATTGATGATATATTTCTATCGTATGAAATTCCGGAATCTTTTGAGCAAGATAAAGACCATGAATGACATTCACTCAAGTCAACCTAAACATAATTTAATCATAGATTCGTTGAAGAAACCAAAACAAAAGCTCATATTTACATAATCTTTTTTAGTTGATGATTGTTTTATTTCATATGAAATATATTCATAATCTTTTGGTTTTGATACAGAACAACAAGATGAGATTTCTAGAAAGTAGAAGATGGTTAAAAACTTTTCATAGATCTAAAAAAAAAGGATTAACTAACTGGATTTAGGAGAAGTTTGTTTATCTTGTGATGCTGATGATGATCGAATAGTTTGCAGAGCATGAGCAATTTTCTATGATGAAAAATAATGTAAAGATAACTATTATGTAAAGAAATGGATTCACTTACTTGTCGTATAGATTTTGACATTTTGAATAATGAATTAAGTTAATGATTCGATTGTTGTATATATATAGAGAGAGAGAGATGAAGAATGAGTATCTGTTTCAGAGATAAAGAAAAAGAATCAAGTGTCAAGTGATTAGCTCTTCTTCTTTTTTTTTGTGCTCATATATTTTTCTTTTCCATGGCTAACTTATCTTTCTTAACTAATTAGATACGTCTATATTATCAAGTGTTATTGAATATTGATAATCTCGTTTAATTCTCTTTCTCCTTATTGGCCTAAATGAATAATCTACACAAGGATGTTCAACATATGAAAACAATGCCAATCACTTGAGTTGCCTGATGAATATCATGTGTGGATGTTGATTTCAAAAACAAATGGTTTTAAGAATCAAATTATTCTAACTCAAAAAGTAATTAAAATAAAAAGCGATTTTAGGAAAATATTCACTGATAAAACAAAAAAATTTGATATGACTTTGATACATTGAAGATTTTCATCTTGTAATTTCAAACGACATATTACACTATGGGCGTCTTAAATTTTTCCTTATCACTGAACTTATTCTTGATGACGTTCAAAGAGATTATCAATATTCAATAACACTTGTCAATATAGACGTATCTAATTAGTCAAGAAAGATAAGTTAGCCATGGAAAAAGAAAAATATATGAGCACAAAAAAAAAGAAGAAGAGCTAATCACTTGACACTTGATTCTTTTTCTTTATCTCTGAAACAGATACTCATTCTTCATCTCTCTCTCTCTATATATATACAACAATCGAATCATTAACTAATTCATTGTTCAAAATGTCAAAATCTATACGACAAGTAAGTGAATCCATTTCTTTACATAATAGTTATCTTTACATTATTTTTCATTATAGAAAATTGCTCATGCTCTGCAAACTATTCGATCATCATCAGCATCACCACAAGATAAACAAACTTCTCCTAAATCCAGTTAGTTAATCCTTTTTTTTTTTGATTTATGAAAAGTTTTTAATTATCTTCTTCTTTCTAGAAATCTCATCTTGTTGTTCTGTATCAAAACCAAAAGATTATGAATATATTTCATATGAAATAAAACAATCATCAACTAAAAAAGATTATGTAAATATGAGTTTTTGTTTTGGTTTCTTCAACGAATCTATGATTAAATTATGTTTAGGTTGACTTGAGTGAATGTCATTCATGGTCTTTATCTTGCTCAAAAGATTCCGGAATTTCATACGATAGAAATATATCATCAATAAGTTCATCAAATGAAAATATTCATCAATTTCAATCAACACGAATACATTCAGAAGATTCAAATTCTCGTTTAAGTTTATCTAATTTAAGTTCAATTCCAAATGATCAATTGAATATATCAAATTTTGATGTTACTGCATGGTATACTGTTCCAACATCGTTTGAATGTTGTCATTGTCAATGTCATCATCATCTGACTAGAGATCATTTACAAAATCCAACTAATCACTATTTATATTTTCCACATCAATATGAAGAAAAACGAACAAAAAATCAAATTTTTCCTTTCATTTTTTAATCTAAAATAAAGTATTCTCTTGTTTAATAGCGCCAATTGATGTTTTTCTTTTTTAAATTTATCTAATTATCGATTCATAGTGTTTTATCATAGTATAAAAAATAGAGATGAGTAAAAATCTAATACTAAGAATTGAATGTAATCTAAAATCATTTTATTGTAAACGTCGTTTTCCCATTTCTGAATGGACTCTAGGAGATTTTCGTTCATATATTCAACAATTACTTGATATTAAACTAGAAAATCTTATTGTTTTATTACATTCACATGAATTAAGTATAGATCAAGATAATAATTTATTATGTAATATTGAAAATTTGCATGAAAATGATACAATTATAATTGATTCACATCGTTATGCTGACGATATTGATAATGTTAATAGATTACCAGAAAAATATCGAATGTCTGATGAAGTTTATGCACAACGAAAAGGTACATTAAAAGATTATCTTCAAAAAAATAAACTTGGAAAATATAGTGATCAAAGTGCACTCTTACAATCAATATCAAATAATAATAAACAACAAATACGCAAATTATGTGAATTAAATAGTATAAAATTGAAGAAAATAGAAATCGGAATGCATGTACGTGTAAATGAACCGATGTTAAATATAAGATATGGTGAAGTTATTTATATTGGTATATTACGTGGAATTTATGATGAATTTATTGGTGTTATTTTTGATGGTCCATGGGGGGATTCAAATGGATCCGATGGAATTATTCGATATTTTGATGCCAAGAGAAAACATGCTAGTTTTGTTCGACCAGAATATATCGAAATTATTGAAGAATAAAAGAAGAAAACTTCTCAAATGAATGAAATTAAACTGTTTAGTTGATGTTGAAGTTAAAAAAAAAAAGGATTCTTAAAAATATATTGTTTCTCTTCTATCGATCATTTTGATTCATTTTTACGTAGTTTAATATATAAATGATTAACCACGATAAAAAGTTTTTATGTATACGAAAAAAAAAAGAAATGTATGATAATTTAAATTCTTTTTTAATTTTATCAATATATGAGATGAGAAAGAGACAGTTTGTTCAATAATGTTAGTATTTCAGAGAAAAAAACAGCTAATAGTTAAGAAATTAAACTTTTATAAAGCATATACTATGTTAGGTCTATGAGATAAGGTAAATTTCTTTTAGAAAATGTTTTTTTTTTATATAATTTTTTTCTTTACTGTTCATTAAAGATTTGAAAAGAGTACAAAACTTGATTAATAATCAAGTATTCTACATGTATGCATTTGAATATTTACTCTATGTTGTTTATCATTCACACTAGTTCATACTAAAGCATTTATTATAGTGTGGTGACTTTTAATCTTTGTAATGAGAATCAAAATGAGATCCGTATCTACGATTTCATACCACTCGTGTGTAGGTAATGCCATATTTTAGAGTTCACGATGGAAGACGACGTAGATAGAATGGATGATGGTTCTAGTCAAGAATCGAATTAGTTGCTTTTCTGTTTCATCACTGTTGTCATCTTGAACATAGTCAAATTTTATAAAACTATAATTTAAAAGAATGTTTAAATAAATTCTCCTATGTTTCTAGCAATTTTTCATCAATAAATAAATAAAAGAGTATACGATTTGCTTTTAGTAATAGCTTGATCGCCAATGGTTGACGGATTCTTTGGTGAATCTCGTTGTCATTCAATTGGGTTTGTATGCTTATGTAAAAAAAATGCCTTAATGAGTAGTTGAGATGAAGATTTTCTCTCATTTTTTGTTCATTTTGTATCTTCGTCAATCGAATAGAATATCATCATTCGAAAGTTCTTTAGTTTTAAATACGCGTAAGGAGAAAATGTACATGTAAATAATGTCTTCTACGAATTTAAGTTAATGGAAACTAGATGATAAAAGACAGAAAGCAACCTTAGTTGATTTATAAATGTTAATCAGCATTTTTTTTTGAAGATGTCATCAAAGTTATCTTCATCTATTGTTTTACTAACAAAAAAGCAATCTTCAAAATAATACGGGATTAAATTAGACATTCATCTATACAACCAAACAATTGGTCGATGTATGTTTATGCGAGTGTCTCGTAAAAACAATTTGTGTTTATACTTCCTTTTTATCGAATAAAATCTATTGGCTCGAATTATTAATATCAATAGACAAAATGTTTCATTTTCATGGTCTAATGCATCACTTTCGACTATTAAAGAAATATATATCAACACAAATATTAAAATTTAGAATTCATTAAAGTACTATTTCTTTCTACTTTTCTTTTTTCCAATTTATTTTAATGATTAAAATTATTAGAAAACCAAATGAAAGAATACTCTTATTATAAGGTGATTTATATTTTAACATACGTCTGTTAAAAAAGTTTAGATTTTTCTAATATTTTTATGGTTAAACAAATGTTGATTGATTATTTTCTATCTTCTTGGAAAGAATCCATATAGCTGTGGGATACCATTAGTATATGATGGAGGATAATAATTCATAAAACCTTGACCTGGTACACCATGAGGTATACCAGAAGCACGAATAGCGTGTTATGTTTGCATGTTAATCATCATAGCAAGTCTCGGATCCATAGAGCCTAGTGATGGAAATACCGTTTGGTTCATTACTTCATTAAAACCCTGACGACCAGATGTGGGATGTAACATTCGATGTAGTGGAGATGTTTCTGGACGTTGATTATGCGCGTTCGAAGAGTTATTGTGGCTATTCATCTTTAGTGACGAAAACGTATACTTATTCTTATAACAAAATTATGTTCACTGTACGAAGCATATACCGTCATAAAGTCAAAAAATGTTTTCATGCTTGAATGCACATTCAAAAAGTGACAAGCTGAATATTCGTCCTTTACTTCATGACTCAGGATTATGTATAATTATGTAAAATCTGATCAAATAAACAATATTTTTATTAGACTTGCGAAATTACGAACTGAAATTCAGTCATTGTCTAATTCTAAAAGTGATGAAATTTTCAAAATCAATAGGTTTATCTTCATATTTAAGTATATTTTTTCCAAAAATGTTGTTGATCATTTAAAAATTTTATTTCTTTTTTATTTTTAATCAAAAGCCAATTTAATTTTTTTATTTAGCATTTTGATTGATTCAGTAGGTTTTGATTCTATTGAGAATACTATTTCTTTTCTAACCGTTGTGCTAAGAGTTTCACTCTAAAAAACAATTATTTTTATTTTTACTATTCCGCAAATGAATAGTACTACAAATATCAAGTCTCTTTTTTTTTTCAATTTTACTATCGTTACTAAGACATTTTATAAGCAACATTACAATTATAGCATACAAAAACCATAAAAAAGTACGCATGATTTTTGAGTACAAAATCGGTCACTTTTCTTTATGATAGTAATCTCTTGATCACTTAGCATACGAATTTCTGGTCTATTGACAAGTACATGTGCAATAGCAATATCGAAAATAATACCTTTTCTTTTGTCCTTGAGTTTTTCGTCACGATTTCTTAGAAAAATATATCAGTTTTCATCGAAAATTCCGTGATACATGTTTATTCTAATGACATTTCGGCGAAAACACATAGACTCTATGAATTCATTTCGAAGAAAATGATTATCGCATAACAACATAAAATGTTTTCAAATTATAAAAAGAACAAAGAACATAAACAGGTTTTTTTCGTTCTTATTGACATTTGTTGAGTTTTGCACTGTTAATGGACTTTATTTTTTCATTTTCAAATTGTTGTCTTGGTTTTGTTTTCAATGCACGAGGTTTTTTCCGACTCCTCAGTCGGAATAAATCAGCTGATTGCAAGTAGACGTCTGACTTATTTTCATTGTGTTGTTGCAAATAATATCTTATTGAACATAGCTTTTGATGACATCAGTTGATTTTATTGACACAGAACCATGTTGTTGTTCTCTTGCCATAAATGTTTTCTCAAACGAAAATTCAACAAGTTTCGTTTTCTTTTTGAGATTATTACTTTCCGAACATAACGCGTTTCATCTACATAATGTCGTCATATTACCTGCTAAAGCATAATATCTTAAAGTTTCTGCACATTTTTAAGTATCTATAATAATTCGAATAATACTGTACAGAATAATAATGGTTTTTTTGATAATTCAAATCTAAATTTAAACCTACATGACCTTGAATTTATATTATAGTCAATGTTATTTAATTGTAAAGGCTAACTTTAAAAAACTAGAAAACATAAATAGGATTATTTAGATATTGTTATTTTATTAAATGAATCTATATATTTAGGTTATCTTAAAGAAATAAATTTTGTTTTCGTTTGATTTTTGATTAATGAATAGATTGTGTGTCATCATAATGAAAGTATAAGTCATAATGTTTTTTCTTCGTTTTTCGATAAAATAATGTTTATCCCTTTAAAACATACATTCAGCTCTTCTATTCATTCCTCCATGTAAATCAACACTATTTAGTTTGTGCGTAATTGACTGATATCATGAACTGCAATATTTCATACTCATGATTCTACTCTTTGTTATATTATGTTGCATTCATGTGCAACATTTTAATGACGTTATTCAAAAACTTGACATAATATAGGTCACCTTGGAGATGGACGAGTAACGTGTTCTCTTGATTGAAAAAGGTTTTTTTCGTTTCTTGGTATCAATGTTTTTTAGCTGTGAGTCACATCCCAATAATAGCTAAAATAAGAATTCCTTTCTTTTTTCTTAAAAATTTTTTCTTGAGTCATTTTCATTGAGAATCATGTTCTTCCAAATTAGTCAAATTGATTATATCATTAATCTATTGCGTCATTCATTAAAAATCCAATAGTTTGAGTATTTTTTCAAAGTCATACGTAGAATGAAAAGAAAAAGAAGAAGAACAAATCTTTTTTTTTTTCATTGACGTTATATGGAGTCAATATGACTAATACCTTGTATCACCTTCACATTCCATTCATTTTGTCGCATATTTGTACAAGGCTTCCTCCTACTTTCTTCAGTCACTACGAGTTGATGAATCACGAGTAGGAATGTCTGACTCTGTTTCTACTGGTTGTATTCACAAAATGATTCATCTGACACGTCTTTTAACATCATCATTTACCATATTGGGATAATGCCAAGCAATCATTGTTGTTCCCGTTTTATATACGTTATTGCGCAAGTTCACGTGTGCATCATACTCCTTTGCGTTCTTACGCAATACGATAGTAACAGCGTCTCGCTGCAGTGTATAAATAGCAAATGTTTCATTCAGTTTGCTTTCATTTTTGCTACATTTACTTCATACACTTTACACACTTTATACACGTTTTAACGTTTACTATTTTATTTTCCATCGTGCATCAACAACCGATTTTCTTTACACATTTATCATTTAATATGGTTCATCAGACGTTTGACTTCTTTATTCAAACTGTTAAAAATTCTTTAGAAATGTCTCGTACAAAACTTGTTACTACTCAACAATTAATGAATACAACATTATTCAATAAATCTGATATTACTCCACTCATGGCTAAACCATACGAAGTTGTTAATGCTACCAATGATAACAACGATGGTTCACAGGATGTTACTAAACCACCTGATAAACCCAATGGTTGACTATAAATTCATCAATAATACAAATTATGTATGAATTTGGACTCATTAAAAAAAAAGAAACTTATTTTCACAAGAATACCAAAATGTATTATTCAAACAATTAGTATGTATAATATTAGTCTATTAGATTAGTTTTTATTTTTTATTTTTATTTTTTATTATATTAGTGGTTATTGAAAATTCATCTCTATTGCGTAATTACAACTTCGTCGTTGTTGTGTTTTAACTTTGATAGGAATCATCAAATCGACGAACCATTGTATACTATGTATGCATTATAATCATGAAATTTTATTGGAACGAAGAGTCGCATTTCTCTTCGACAATTGTTGTTGTGTGTTTATTATTATATTAAAAAAATTTCTAAATCAAAGATCTGTTATTTTTTTTGTATCATATTGGATGCAAGTTTATTAAATAATAAAAATATATATACACATTTAACTACAAAGTTTGATTAAATAAAAAAGAAAAAGAAAATATTTTTAATCATGAATAAGTCTTTTAAGTTTTGCGATTGAATCATTATCCAGTGAAGGCCATTGAAGAACTTGTAAATCTTCTTTCATATGTCTCTCATCAGTAGTACCAGTTAATGGTGTTAAACCAATATCTAACAAAAATCGAAAGAATACTTGAATTGGTGTACCATGACGTTCTTGTGCAAGTTGTTGTACTAATGGATGTTCAAGAATTTGTGGATTAGCTAAAAAAATTCTTATCGATTATATTGATTGTAAATGTTCTTTTTATTTTTTTTTCTTTCCTCATACCTGTTAATGTCCAAAAACTTTGATAATAAATATTTTTTTCACGACAAAATCGTCTTATATCACTATCAAAATTTGTATCAGCATAAAAACGATTTTGTATAACTGAAGGTTTATGTCGAGCATCATCATATAATCTTTTTAAACCATTTAAATCATATAAATTACTAATACCTAATTGTTTAACTAGACCATTATCAACAAATTTTTCAAATTCACGATAAACTTCCATTGTTAAATCATGTGATTGTAATGGACTATGAAGAACTAATGAATCAATATAATTAGTATGTAAATTTTTAAGTGATGTTGTTAATGATTGTTGAACTTGTTCAGCTAATGGTGCATGAGGATTATAAGGCAAAGGTTTTGATGAATCTTGTCCATGAATACTAGTAAATTTTGTTTGAATAAATAAATTTTGTCTCGGTATATTATATTTATTTTGAAGTTCAACAAGAGCTAAACCAACAAGATCTTCACTAAAAATATTTAAAAAACAAAAAAAAATAAAGAAGAATCGATTTTTTTTTTCTGATTTAAAAAAAGATATTCATTATGTACCTATAGTGTTTTGGTTGACATGCTGTATCAATACCACGAAATCCATTTAAAATAGCTTTAATAACAAGTTGTGTTGTTGCTTCTTTTTTCCATGCTGTACCATAGATTAAACGAGGCATATGAACACCAGCATTTGTTGTTACTGTTGTTGCTAACATTATTTCACCCTTAATAACCCACCAAGATTTATAAGGTCAAGTTCAAATAGACAGACTCATAACTATATTCTCATTGGCAAGATGCCAAAAGCTTACCATAATTTTTTGCTCATATTTAAAAAAAAATATAATATTTAATTTGTTGAAATCTATCGAAAAAAAAAATTTTCATTCTTTCAAACATATTCATTTCAATTCTAAGATATGTCAAATTCAAAATATCTATAACAAACCACCGCCATCTGTATCTTACATGTCAAAAAAAAAAACATATATTTGACAGAATACCAAAAAAAAAGAAGAAAGACAATACCTTTTTCGACTTTCATTAAAAAAAAAAGAATTAACAAAATTGTTCTATTCGGAAAAGATTACTTTTATGGTCTGGAACTAAATACTATCATTCTTTTGATTTCACTATAAGATTAATAAAAATAATTCGATTAAAAATGTTCTTTTAGACTCTCACTAGCAACCTCGTCAAGTGCAAAATACTAGCATACAAACACGAACACATTTTTCATGTGATGATTGATCAGTATACAGTTCGTTCTCTGTCAGTTACAAATATTCTGAAAAAAACAGACATATCTTATCTGTCTATGAAATAAACATAACACAAAAAAAAATGGCAAAGAAAAGAAGCCTAGTTTATACTATACCTAACTAAAAGATATATAGAATATACATTTACTCATCGATCATTGTCCACTCGTATTCTCTACATCTTCATCAATATTTCTTATCAGTTCCTATTTTCTTTGTTCATTCATTCTATAGTTATCGTTCAGAGAATAAAATATACATAGACAGACCTCAATCTAAGACAAAGAGTAAATCCTATTTAAACTCATACATATCCGAACATATTTCGAAAAATAAAACAACAATCAATAGTAGATCATGTAATGAAACAGATTAAGAAACGGTAAGATTTTGAATAAAACTTTCTTTCAATCTTTCTATCATTACTATTTCTTATTACAAATTACCACATATCATCATCCAAAGATATAAAGATAAACCTATTCAAACTAATTAGTGCCATATTTATTTTATTCATTCAATCACTAACAAAAACTCATTTTGACAGTAGAAATGTTCTTGATTTCTATTCTTACTTCCTTCTTCTTCTTTTTTTATTGTCCTATCTAATGTTTTTATCTTTATTGATATCATCTCACTACTCTTATTTTCAAATTGCTCTTTAATGACCATTCTATTCTTTTCAAAGTTTAAAAAAAAAAAAAAAAAACTTCTACCCCAGGAGTTCTTTTTCGTTTTGAAAAATATCAATCCATTCAATTGTTTAAATACTATTTAAGAGATCAGAACATAAAACAACGAAAAGAAGTGGCTATTAGTCTTATATTATTTTTTATTGATAAGCGTAATATTTATCTATGTAAAACAGCATGTTATATGTCAGCTCGAATGTCACATTAATACACATATGAATATTGACCGTAAAACACGGTCGGTGGTGATGATGATATTGTTATTTTTTTTACGTGAAATACATGCACATATATATAAAAAAAAAAGATGTTTTTCTTGTTACGGTTAGATTGGGTGTCATCTTTCCTGTGAAAACGAAAAACTAAAACTTTTTTTTTTCGAAAACGGATATCAAGATTTCAACGATTGACTATTTAGCACTTGATCGTTTTTTTCAATCACCACAGGATTCTGACTGATGAATGTCGGCATTTTCTTTGTTCATTTATCAATGATTGATCAGAAATATTTAAAAATTTACAATGGTGTGCTAAAAAAATAAATATATTTCTTTTCTTTTATCTTGCACAATAGAGAAAAATAAAATTCTTTTTTTTTTTTTTTTCAATTTTAAGATTAAAATTCTGTTTAATAGAGTAAAACTGTGATCTACACATTGAATTTAATGAAATTTGTGAGATCACATTTTTATTCTATTGTTGAATTATTATTCGAAAACAATTGTCAAACTACATTAATTGGTTTAATAAATCTATAACAATAATTGATAAGTGTGATTTGATTACAACAAGCGAAGCAAATTTTCGCATTTCATTTCTATTGGTTTCTTTCCTTATTCATAACCCAATCGAAAGAAAAAAAGATGAGAGAGAGAGAGAGAAAGATAGAGAGAAATGGCTTCATTTATTAAACGTCATCGTCAAATAAGTAATCTCATTCATTCGTAAATGAACATTCAAATTTAAAAGTAGTCAAAACAAGGAAACGAATTCATTTGATCGAAAATGTCATCATCAGGAAGTCCTTCGAATACTGGTTCGGTAAGTTGAAAACAAATGTTATGTTGTTTGAATTGATTACTTATGAAAAACTTTAAATACAAAAAATTATTTTATTAAAGAATATTGTTCTATCAAATATTGTTACATCAGCTTTGGGTCAATTAAATTGGGCTGAATTAGAACAAAAACAACCTAAACCTATTAAACCTATTCATGTTAAACGACCGATGAATGCATTTATGGTTTGGGCACAAGCTGCACGAAAAAATTTAACAACTAATTTATCTGTTGTTAATAATGCACAATTAAGTAAAACATTAGGAAAATTATGGAAGTAAGTTTTTTAATATGAATGAAAGTTTTCTTTAATTATTTTCAATTCAATCTAGATCATTACCACAAGAACAACGTCGACCGTTTATTGAAGAAGCTGAACGTATTCGTGAACAACATAAACGTGATTATCCTGAATATCGATATCAACCAAAACGTAAAATTAAAAGTAAGATAAAATAATAATGAAATTTTGAAATTTCTTTTTGGTGTTTTAATTTTAGATGCTCGTTATCATCCATATTCAACACCAAATACAAGTAAATCATCATCATCACCATCATCTTCATCAGCTAATGATATAAGTGTACAAAGTGATCATCATCCACCCATGACTTCATCACCATGTTCATCATCTATTGATGAATCAACAACAAGTGTATCATTAGTTATTCCAACATTTCAATCTCAACAAATCTATTCAACAAAATATAATCATGATGATGATAATGATGAAAGTGGTTGTAGTTCAAAAGAAAATTTTCCTCCATTAACATATTATTCAGAACCAATATCGACAAATAATATTGAAGGTGATCATGATTATAATACCATGACAAATGGTATTTATTCAAGTACAACAATGCAATCAAATGAACATTTTCCTTATTCAAGTACGTTTCGAAAAACGAAATTCTCATTATTTATTTTATTTTTATAATTTAGATATATACAATTCATATTATCAACCATTTCCTCATCAGGTAAGTACGGATTATGATAATACAACTCGTTATAATACAAATTATGGTTTGATCTCATATGATTCGACATATATGACATATCCATCGACTTCATTTGTTCCACATACAACTACTAATTTCAATTATATGAACAATCATTATCCTTCTACTCAATGACTTTATCAAAAAGATTATGTACTTTTTTGTTTGTTTTTTTTTTATAAATCTATTATGTAAAGAAAAAAAATACATAAATTATAGAAAAAAAATAATTTTCAAAGATCTTGACGTTTTTCTGCAAGTGCAACTTTAATATTTTCTTGTGGAGTTTCTTCCGGTTTTTTTGATAATTCCGGATGAGGTTTATCAGATGCTAATTGACCTGCATCAATAAATTGTTGAGCAAGTTCAATTTGAAGTTTTCCATCAAGTTTTGAACGAAGTGGATTAAGAATATCAGTTTCTTCTTCATTTAAATGATGTACTTAAAATAAAAGAAGAGAATATTTTTAAAAAAGTAACATATTCTTGCTTGTTTCATACTTAATTTATCAATTGCTTTACATATTTGTTTCCATTTCATAGGAGATTGTTCAGTTAATGTTTTTAATTCAGTTTCAAGTTCACGATGTTCTTTTATACCATGTTCTATTAAATGATGTCCACTTTTTTTTTGATCGTTTAAATAACTTTCAACTTTTGGATAAAATGCAATTTCTTCTTTATGTCCATGTAATGATATGTATGCAATCCATTGACGAATACGAGAATCAAATTTAGTTATATCTTCCACTGATTTAAAATATTCGTATTCATCACGCATATGTTTATGTTCAGATAAAATTAAATCAATAATACCAATCGATTGAGATAAACTAGATGTCATTATCGATCTATGAATGATTAAAGTAGGAGCAACAATGAAATATCGAAAAAGAAGCATTATACAGTATATATAACTAAGCGTGTTGAATTCTACTCGACGAACTCAGTACAATCAGAACTGACTCATCTTGCATGTTTTACTTGTTGAATTACGTAGAAATATTAATAGAAAGCTAGCGATATCTGTCGAAGATCGAAAATGTCTTCTCTATCTATTTCAGTTGATATATTCTTCTAGTAGGTATTTCACCATGTGATATTCTAATAACACCGAGTGAAACATTTTTCTTGAGGCGACCACCGCCTATAATGTGACCGATAGTACCCTTGTAATAGGAATATCCTTCAATTTATAATTAAAGTGACAGATACATACATTTGAATATGATTATAAATTTTATTTGAACTTCTAGTATGTGAAAGATAATATTTTAATAAAGAAAAAGCCTAGTTTTTTTTTTCATACAATCATCCATATCTTTATTAATAATAAAAAAAAAAAGTCAATTTATAAGAGCACGTGCGAGTGTTTTCTATTGTCATTCGTCCATATCTTTTGTTGTACAACAAACACTGATATACATGAACCAAAACACAGTAAGAAAATAAGACAAAAAAAATGAATAAGAACACAAGGAAGTTGAAAGAAAGAAAAAAAAAGAAGTTAAATGGCACGCGCATAAGCTCACTTTCGTATTAACACAAGAATAAGACAAGAAACCACAAAAAAAATAGAAGTAAAGAAAAATACTATAGTAGATATATCTGATATCTCTATGTAGAATTTGATCGTTATAGAATGAAGCAAAAAAAAAAATAAATCTGACAAGTGTTAAAGGCTTAAAAAATCATAAGATAAATATGGTGGTGTTGTATTTATATCTGTAGCATTGGTAGTAAAATTTGATAAAGGTGTATCGATCCAACCACTATTATTGTAAGGTTGATCGAGGTCCATTAAATGATTATTAGCTAAATCTTGTAATGTTTCATATCCTAGAAATCAAAAATATTAGTTAAATTTGAATTTATGTACAATAAAAAAGCCTAACATACCAATTGTATCATCTAGAACCGGAACTAATTCTGGTTGATTGTTAGGTATATTGAACATATTAGAAGTATTACTAAGATAATCGATTAATGTTGATGTTGATTCATCGAGAGTAATCGATGATGATGATGATGATGATAATGGTGAAGGTGTCATAGGTAATAGTGGTGGTGGAGGTACAACAATGTCATCATGTTTATTTATAATTTGTATACGTACAGGTCGACGTGATAAAATTGGAGATGTTTGTATGTGTGGAAGAAGAGGAGAAGGAGGTGCAACAATAACAGTTTGAGGTTGACCAATAAGTTTTGAAAGCCAATCATTGTTATTATCAGATGATAACGATGATGATGATGAAATAATAACTTGACATATGGCTTGAACTGTTGGCGCTACATTATGAGGAGCAGCATCCGAGGTAGATGATAATGGTTGTTGTTGTTGTTGTTCCTGTTGTTGTTGTAGTCCTTGAAGAAAACGAAAAGATGAAGTTGAATAATATGATGAAGAGTTCATCTTTGACATTTGTTCTTGAGCTAAAGGTAGTAATAATGAAAAGATATGCTAATCGATATAGATATATATACATATGACTTCAGGCTAATTGGTACGTACGGTCAGGTAGAAAATGCTTCTTTGCTATTGTTCTATTCGCGGTTGACGAGCGTTGTTTTGGTTTGAACCTATAGCCGGGATGATCAATGTGATGTTGTCTTTTTAATGTTTCAGCCATATCTAAGAATGGCTGTTTCTCTTCGACGGGCATTCTCCTAAAAGAGTAGATTCTCTCTTCGTATGTGGCAATTGATCTAATGATTGCTTTTTCTTACCGCCATGTTTCACCTAAAAGTTTACTCAATGATGTTTGACTAACACCATAACCATTACTAGATACTCGTTTTCGTTCACCTCGAGCCCATAATAAAAATGCATTCATCGGTCGTTTTACTGTTGAATTTCTCTTACTAATCTTATTAGTATTATCCAATGATTCATCAGAATAGTCTTCATTTGTTTGTATTGGTGATAATGATTCAGTTTTGGGCAAGGAATAATCTATAGCTAAATACTAAAGTGAATAGAAATTAAAAACTATATGCACATACATATTCGAAGAAAATCACTCACATCATGAAACGATGAAGACGGAGCTGACATCATCATCATCGTTACCGAATATCTATTGTTTTGGATTATGAAATAGTGACTGTTATGTACAATCCAACCTCGACTTGTACATTCGAATAAGAGTGGAAAAGAAAGAAAAACATCCATGTGTTTTCTGTATGTCCAGTAGACATGAATCATATCCAAGCGCGTGTCGAAAAAAAGAAAATATGTATTTTTACTGGATATAGAATTTTCTTAGTTTTTTTGATGAACAAACTTCTAGTTTATGTCCTCATATATACAATGACAAGAGAATATTTCCTTTTTTTTTAAATTCTTTTCAATCATGTCAAACATTTATTCAATAAATGTGCATTGATCTTTTGATATAAGAGAAAGATAGCATGAAGAAACACTTATGAACATTGCTATATTTCATTAGATGCTTGCTTCTTGAAATTGAATGATCAGAGAAAATATTAATGTAGTTTTATTTCCGTCAAATTTCGTATGTGTTAGTCGTTCTTTATAATAGTGTATTTGAAATGCTAATTGAGATTTATTGAATACGACAATTTTATTGACGAAATTTAGTTTGAAATCAAATTAATAGAAACAAAAAACTAATAACTATGTTTATGAGTAAAAGTCATTTGATAGAGGATAGTATATCGTTCATGAATTGAACATTGGGTAAAAAAGTTGATCAAAATTCGGGCATAATTGAATCAAGGTTCAATATGGACAAATGAATGACATCGATGGTGATTGACTGTAGTACTTATTTGTTTCCATTGTCTAGAAATACGATCTTGATAAGAATTGAAAAATATATATAATTTCAATATTTACTGTTGATGATGATGATGATGGAAGTGTAGGCTGTGAAACAATAGTTGGTTACATCGCATCAAGTTTTGGAACAGTACGCTATTGAAAACAACGAAATCCATAACATAAACTTATGAGTAAATCCACTTACTCGTCGATTAGAAAGCCAAATTTGAATTTATTTAGATGTTCGACCAGTCAATGAACAAATTGATAACGTTCAGTTGATGATGGGTAAGGATTTTTATTATAGAACTCAATCAGAACAGTTCGTTATCGACGAATAAGATGTGTTCGTATTTGTGGTTTTGTAGCAGACATAATTATGAACTATCGAATGAACATTTACTTACCTTTTCTTAGAAAATTCTATAACACCATTTAAGACTATTCTCTCTACTGCAATGATGAGATACTGAATATTTACATGTTCAACTTAAAACAAAGTCAATTATTTAGAAGAAAACAGAACAATTAAAACATATCTTCTTTCTATTCAGATATCAAAAAAAAACAAAATGTTTACTACAAAATGTATAGAAAAGAACAAAACTGGAACACAACAATATACATTCGATAAAGTAAAAACTTTAACGATTGATCAATGGTGCCCCTAGAAAAAAAGAGAGTAAGGAATCAATATTTTTGACTTATACAATAAAGTATAAAAATATTTACATCCAGCTCGACGTGGTGACATATACACAATCGGATTTTGATCTTTTGTCACAATGGATAATGATGGACTAGGTGAAATGATTCGTTTTGATGATGAAGATTTCATTTGATAACTATATATATATAGTAAAGACAATAAAATTTTCAATTTAACAAAACTATAATTTATTACTCTTGATGTTTTACTGAAAGAGAATTGTGATTAGTAATATTAATATTTTTTTTATTTAACCATTGTTTAACTTCTTCCATGGTAATAATCTTTTCTGGTATATCTTGGTGTTTTTGATAAAATGAAGTATAATAAGGTCGTTGAACTGCTCGAAGAGGTCGACTTAAACGAAATGCTTTAAGAAATGAAAAAGAAAATAAATAATATAAAATATTAGATATAATAAACTATAGAATATATAAATACTTGTGATGAAAGAAGGATGACGACGAATATTTCCTGCTGTACGACCGCCAACCCAACCTGGTGAAAGAGATGATGTCTATTATTGAAAAAAAAAAACCTTGTTAAAATCTTGTTTACAAGAAAGAAAAAAATTATTTACCTCATTAATAGGTATAATAGATTGTTCAAGAACTGGATTAAGTGTTCGTTCGAGACAAGCTCGTGTTTGATCTAAATCCCAATGTCCATTGATAATATCAAGTAGTACAATTTTATCGTTTTGACGACTAAGCAAAAGTAATAAAGGATAATTATCAACATCAGTAAAATATGAAAGACATTCGACAAGAATCTGTCGAGCACGTCCACTTCTTTGAATAAGTCTTACAAATGAAAAAAGAAAAATTAATAAGTATATAATCATCATATATCTATTTTTAAGTATTTACCGTTGTTTATTTAATGGATAAGTCACATCCCATGGCCATAGAATACATTTATACTTTTGAAAAACATTTAAAATAGATGATGAACAAAGAATTTGACGAGAAAATATTATAGTATAAGCAGATTTATCATGATTGAGAAAAACAGCGAATGGACTATGCTAAATAAACAGTTCATAAATATAAAATAAACAAAAACTAAAAAAACAAAAAGATAGAATATTCACAGATTGACTAATAGCATTTTCAAGTGATGATTTAAACCATATTGGCCAACGATGAACATCTGGATGACGATCTTGAAATACTCGTTCAAAATGACGAACACCATCTAATTCATTTAGACATTCGTTTGGAACTAGATAAAAATACACAATGAGAAAAAAAAATGAACAACTACATGTCCACCGACTGAGTGATTGATCAATAGTAAGAGATAATGGAATACTATTATAAACTAAACTTGATGATTTCTGTTTAACAGCATTAACATTTTCAAGTACATAGTTGATTGCTTCCTATCATTTTTCTACGATATGAAAAAACCAAAAAAACAATTAATATTAATTCAAAATTACCAAACAATTCCATTGAAATTGTTCAAGAATTTTGATCGATTCGTCTGCATTGAATATTGCAGTACGAGACTAAATTGTATAAAAGTGAGTAAAAATAAATTAAAACAAAAAAAGAAAACATTTATACCTGGAACTGTGCCAGCATTTCGTTTCGCTGATTTCTTATCATAAATAATCGATTCAAATAAACACACGATAAACTGAAACATATGAATATCTTTGTTTTTTCGTTTCTATACTTTATAGAAGAATACTGCATGATGTGGTTTCGTTCTGAGAAGAAAAATCATACAACATGTTATTGTACGAAGAAGAAGGGAGAATTATCAGTGTAGAGAGCGTGTATATATCAATATATACCATTAAAAACATGAAATTGATTTATCGATGACAACAAAAACGACAAGGGAAATGTATATCTAGATATAATGAAATTTCACAAAATATTCATGGTTGATTTCATATATGATAAAGATTCATTGTATTGTTATTTTAAAAACTGAAATAGAATGTATTTTAGCTTTTTTAATTTTGAATCAAAAATTAGATTTTGAATATAAAAATTATCTCAATAATATCATGTCTATAATAAAATATTCACGATAAAATAGATAGATACGATGTAATCATAAGGGTTATTACATTTGTTGTAGTTTCACATATGAATAAAAATAATCTTAGATTTCTTTTCTGAATAATTCTAATTCTCATGTTCAGATATACTGTGACAAATCAAAAAACTAATTAACACATAATGTAATAGATTGTTTGTCATCTTGGTTTGACATATTTTTAAACATGGCATTCTATGTTACGATTCTTCAATGTGATACTTAACTATGAAATTAAAAATGTGTGAATATATAATTGGCATAGAAAATGAAGATTAGTAAAACATTGGCGTAAGCATTTTTATTTCTGTGTATCTAATTGAACTAAGCGTTTCAGTTTTTTTTTGTTTATGATTTAACATCAGACTATAATAGGTTAGAAATTCCTATAGTCATTATCTATAGAAGAGCTAATTATATATGAAGTAAATATTAAAATCTATATTAATTGAAATTAATGAGATTGGTTTTGTTTCTTAAGTATATTTATTTAAGATAAATAACAGATTTAGTAGTAAATAAATAGATGAATAAAAATAACAGAAAAGTATTAACAAATAATACAATCATGACGATAAAAATATTAATACTATTTAAAACAAAATGAACATGATATTGAAAATATATGTTAGTACTTCGAGTTATTTAGTCTTGATTGATGATAATAATTGCACCGTCGACTGTTGTCAATCTTCGTGAACCATCTATTTTAAGTATTGTTTCTTAAAGAAACGATCAATATTTTCAGTTCTTTGTTTGTCTATTGTAGTTCAAGTAATATATTCAAAAGAGATATCTGAATTTCATCTTATGACTTCAAGACGAGTGAAGACAAGAAGATAGAATATTTCCGAATAAATTAGCCGCGCAAATGAATATAACGATGAACGATATATTACTCATTCACTGATTTATATAATCATAAAGTTACTATTGCTCTTTAGTTAATGATATCTATTGAGATGTAGATAGACAAGAAACAGCATGTTCCAATTCTGTTTAATCTATGAATTTACTGGATAAAGCAAAGAAAGACGAGTGTTGGTTTTTGGGAAACTAACGGTCCTCATACTCTGGTATATTTTCAGTTTCAATATTGAAAATCGATCTAATAGATGATCACGAGGATTTTTTTTCATTTTTATGAAGTAGAAATTTTGTCATAGTGTTTTTCTTATTATAAAATGTATTTTTTTGACAATTATCAGTGAGCAGTTACACAAAGAGCGTCATTCAGACGATATTTACACAGTAATTATCGAATGGGCACTCCAACACGAATAAATACTGGAGCTAATTCTCGTCCATGAATGATCTGTAAGTCACTTCTGAATTTGATCTTAATTACTATTTCGACATAGCGTACGAAAAAAAAGTAATTAAATAGATTCAGTATTTGCTTTAATGTTGATAGTCTTCGAGAAGCCTAAGAATAGTTCTTTGTTTATAACACGTTGTTTTCATCAAGCGAAGATTCATTACACCGTTGTACATAAATTGCATTACTAGGAACTAAGGATCTTTAAGAACGAAAATGAAGAAAGACTATCGTTGGTTTATTTTTCATTTTGAAAACTGGTCTATTATCCTCTGCATTACTCTATTGTAAGTACCTTGTATACAAAGAGAATCGACGTGATGTTAAGTTCATATTACGACACATTATTGTTACTGGCATAGTAAAAGTATGTTATCTAACATTTAATGTTAAAAAGATGTCTACAACACTAAATGCAAATGTGAAATGAAAGTATCGAAATTCATTTCTCTAAAAAGTTTTTTTGTACATAATGACATATGACCACCACTAGAAATTCGAATAGTCAATAGGGAAATAATAAAGATGTCTCAAGAACAAATATTTGATCATCATTTACTTTCGAGTACGATACTAGTCATCAATTTACGAAGCAATTCTTTTTTGCAGTGACTGAAATGACTAAGTTTTTGATGGTGAAGTAAAATGCATAATGGCTATTCAATTTCCTTATTCATCGCCATTAGACATAGGCAAAGTCGACATTTTTCAAAATTGGAATCATATTGAATAGGAATGAACAAAAATCACAAAAAACTTGTGGCATACGATCAAAATAATCTTGTTGAAGAACACGAAAACAATGACGTAAGTTTTCATCATGTCTACTATTTTAAACTTTTGCAAGTACAAATAAAAAAAGCAATTGTAAATTAATACATAAATACTTCTCGTTTGAAATCTATGGTCTTTTGAGAAGAAATAGTGGTTTTTTAAAATATTATTTGAATAAATTTCTGAACGACTAATTTAACCCTTTGTACCAATATAAAGAAATAATTTTGTTGTCACTCATAAAAATGCTCTTGATTTAAATATCCTTGTAACTTGGATTCGAAATAGGCTTATATTTTTTTTGTAGAACCGTACTAGAATTAGCCAACTCTAGTTGTTTGACTATCAAAATCGTTCATCCCTATTCATCATATGCATTTCTTCACAAAACATGTTGAAATAACATAAATATCAGATATTTTTATTCATTGCTTGTCATTTTATTATCTGACATATATATTCATATATAAAGTTGTTTAACCATCATAATGTCAACAGTGCTTATGAAACAAGTTTTCTTTATATATTTTTTATTGTGACACTATATTATCAAATTCCAATGAAGTACAAGAATATATATTAATACAGAATGTTCATACAAAGTTTTCTATATACGATTAGTATATATGTACTATTTTTCGGTTGAACATTATTTTTTCTCAATGATTTTTCAATCAAAACTGATTCATCTTTTGAACTAAATTTCATATATATATATACATATAGCTATCTATATCTAATGGTTCTACGAAATTATAAAAACTAAGACATAAATCTCAATTAATGTCAAACTATTTCTCTTTGTTTGTTTCGTTCTTATACAACAAGAAATACAAACATGATACGCACAAAAAAAAATCGCAAGTAAACAACGAGAGTTGAAGAAGAAAAAAAAAGCAGAAGGAAAGGTAGTGAAACATTTGAATTACAGAAAAACACGTGCAGATATCTGAGATGGACAAAGAGCGACAAAAACAAAAGAAAAAAAATACATGATGAAGTTCCTTGAGTGATTAAGATTAGGATTGGAAATTTTTATTCTGGATTTGATGTTGTTATTGTTGTTGTCGTCGTCGATTGTTGTGGTGGTTGAGAAGAAGGATGAACAGTTGTATCATGTCGTTGAAATACCGGACCCATTTTATTCATATATTTTTTAACATAAACTTCAGTTTTTAATCGTACACGTTCAGTTAATGTAGGTAATAATGGAATTCCATCATTTTTAGCTTTTTCAATTTCTTTATCAAGTACAGCTAATGTAAATTTTTTAACAAGATATTTAATATCATCAGTTGATACAATACGTCCTTGTTTACATGTTCGTTTAGTATATGGTTTTAATGTCGTATGAACATGTTGAGAAATATTTTTACGAAGAAGATCACGATTTATTTTTGATGAAGATGATAATGTATTAGAATTTGAAGAAATTTGTTTATCAATATTATCATTTATTTCAGAAGATTCTTTCACTGTTATTGACACATTATTTTCATTATTTCCATCAATGGATATTTTTGAAACATCAACAGACATTTCTTCGGTATGTTCTATTATCGATTTTTTATCGTTAATTTCATCTTGTTTAAACTGTTCATTTGAAACAATGATTGATGTTTCTTCTTTCAATTGTGAATTAAGTTCTTCTTTAACCGCAGTTGTCGATTCAATGGTTGAAGGTCGTTTTCGTTTATTATTACTGCTCATATGCTGATGATGATGATAATATCGATGATTACGATTATGACGATGAGAATGTTTTAATAATTTCATAGATGAACGAGATGAAGAAGAAACTTGTTGTTGATCATGTTGTGGACGACGTTGATCATGAATTTGAGCTGATGAAAGTGGACTTAAGTCAAGAGGTAATGGAGGTGGTGGTGGAAGTGAAAGTGAATGTTCAGTAGAAACTGTCAATGACGGTGGTATCCAACTAGTAGCCATTGTTTTTCGATTATAAAAATAAACAGAAGAATCTGACGGATACATCGCAACAGACCAACCCGATGGTAAATAAATAATACGTGATAATTCATTTTCATTATCAGGTTTCGGTGGTGGAGGAAGAGGTGGTTCATCTTTATCAATCTAACGGAAAAAAAATATGAACTTAAAAATTTTATAATTAGCATTCGTTTAAATTACTGAAGTATTTGATACTGATATTGGTTGACCTACAACGAAAAAAATACATAGAAATAATCGAATTGAATTAATTTTCTTTCATACCAATAGAAGCCATATATGAACGAATATAATCAATAGGAATTTGTGATAAATGTTGATGAATCCAATATGTTTGATCTATTGGTTGTGGATAAATCTAAAAGAAAATAGAAGTAAGATTTTAGAAAGAAAATAAATATAATATAAACATACTGCATTTGATGGAAATATCCAAGGAATGGTATTTGGCTATAATAGAAAAAGAAAAGT